TTTAACCAAACCGCTTCAAATGTACCTCTGGCATGTGCGGTACAGAAGACAAGTTGAACAGCATTGTATTGGTTTGCTCTGAACGAAGCGCTTTGTAAACGTCTAGCCAAACACAGTTAGCTACGATCGACAAGGGCGCACGAGTTGGCATTGGAGATGAACTTGTCGCTGAACGAACCTACCCACCGTGCCCAAGGACAGGTAGTGAAATACTACAGTATATATAGGGACTCCTCTCAGCGCCGAGTGAGTTATCAATAACCCCTTAGCAACCTTGCGAGTTTAGAGCTCCGCCATGCAGCTCCTCAGGTGTGACAGCCTCAATATACTAGTCAACTGCCCGTACATGAGCGCATAAAGCATTGTGGCAAGCGATGTTCCAGTGCCAATCTTGCGCCAAATCAGCCTAAATTCAACTGCACTGGAGGCACATCAACTAGAGTTAGTGTAGAGACAACACCATGTCGATGTATATGGAGGCGAATGCTGTCACGCCAGTTTACATGCCGTACATTCGCTGCCGACTGGCGCCGTCGTGCGACGTGAAGCTGTGAAAGGAGGGTGCATCACGTCAGCGCGATTGGCGACGACCGTGCCTACGTCCTGTGTCTCGTCGGCGACCACCGATCGTCCTTGTCGTCTCGCGACTTCAGCGCGCGTCTGGCAGAACAAAACGACGAATTCGCGGATCTTTCTTTTTGTCTCGACCAATCAAAACGCGCCATTCAAAATCGTTGCTTTTCACATTTTTCACATGTGAAAAATGACGCTCTTGGTGGTCGCGTGTCGCGGCGACGCAATCCGGTGCCGATATCCTGCGCATGTTTACGAGCCCTTGTCTCAGGCCGCGACGTTCGGCGTCCCATCGATAAATGGTCGTCCACGGAAGCTCACTTTGCCTTTTCCTCACTTTGCATTTTCCAAACCACCGCAGCAGCAACATATCGTCGATGGACAAGTCCCAAACCAACCACTACCTCGACCTCGCCGACCAAAGCATCTTTGACATCCTTGCCAAAGACGACGGCTCCGACAAGACCACCACCTGGACCCACGTCAAGGTCACCGACGGCGTCTCTGTCGACCGCGGTGTCAACGCCCACTCGCCCTGGAACGCCATCAAGGCCACGACCACGGTCCACTGCAGCGCCAACGACCTCGCGTCCAAGCTCAACGACCCACAGCAGATGCACATCTTTGACGAGATGACCGACAACTGCCGCATCATCGAGGCGCTCAACCCGGCCGAGACCAAGACGATCCGGTATGTGCAGGCCAAGCCGGTGTTTCCGACGACGGCGCGCGACTTTCTTGTTGTGACGAGCGAGCAGCGCCTCGACGACGGGTCCATTGTCATTGGCACCAAGAGCGTCGAGCACGACAGCGTGCCGGTCGACAAGCATTTTGTGCGCGCGCACACGCACGTGTCGGGGTACATTGTTCGTCCGTTGACGCCGACGTCGTGCTCGGTGACGCTGATCGTGCACATGGACCTCGGCGGCTACATGCCGGCGTACGTGATCAACCTCTTGTCGGTGGCGTCGCCGATCCAGTTGCTGAAGCGGTTCCGCGTTCTGTACGGTCGTGCTTGAGCAATGCTTCTCGCTTGATCGCCACGAATAGCAACACCCAATCTATGCAGTAGAACCTAGTTTATTTAACCTTGTATAATTCGTTCGCTTCTAGCGTTAACATCAACCCTCGACGGCTCCATCTCGATACTTGCACAATTCTATTTCGTGCAAAGGGCAGCGGAAGAGGTTTGGACTTGAAAATTGTACAAAAGTGACTTTGTCGTAGAAGCGAGATCGAGTCGCTGGCCGCATTTCCAGCCCATTTAGTTAGTTTACCCCGCCCGTCGCACGGCACCGCGACATACGGCAGGGTAGTCGCAAGCCGGCGCCCTGTCGACTATGAACGGTGAGACTCGTGTAGCCGCGGTTGGCTACCCTTCTCCCTTGACTATGTAGGCCTGTCATCGATCACTCCCCTTTTCAACGCCGCACTCAACGACGCCCACCTTGGTGCGCCCTCTGCCCTCGACCTGCACCAGTGCAGCAGCGTGGACGACGATGCAGCACCGAGTACCGAGATACTCCAGTCTCGCCAAGGAAATGCAGTAAGCGTCTTGAAGCTACACATGCGCTCGCGTCTCTGAGAAGCGCTACTGTCGAGACGACGCCGATGCCGATCTTATCCGCAACAACTGCACCGTTCTCTACAGGTGCTACCAAGCAAAGGGACAGCCAGCATGTTGCCAAATGGGCTACAGTGTCTATGATCAAGGGTATACTCGTATAAGAGATGCTATACCCTTGCTATGATGCAGCCAATATACGGTATCGTCAAACGTTTACGCCGAGGCGACGTCGCAGACGGTGGTCGTGAGTGTCGCGACACCGCCTTCGGGCTTGCCTTGCACCTCGTTGACGACAGCGAGCACGGCTGCGATGAGCTCTTCGGGCTTTTCGTGCGGGATGTCGGTGCCCGGCACAATGCGGTGCGCGACCGACTCGCTGCTCACACCAAGCAGCGCACACTGGCCTTCGTTCCACGCGGCCTCCATGGCCGTCAGCATCGCCGGTTCGACGTCAGGCTCGAAGAGCATAGTCGCAAACATGTCCTTGGTCTCGTGCGAGAGCACAACGAGCGGCACCGCGAGCGTCGGCGGCGGCGACTGCAGAAAATGAGCTTCGGTGCGCGCAACGGCGTTGGCTTCGTGCGAAACACCGCGGCGGTGGGGCGGCGACGGCGCGAACGAGTCGACAAACAATCGCGCGTCCGGCGTGAAGCGCTGCGCGTTGCGCTTTTGCTGCATCCAATGCACGAGTCGGAGAAGACCCCAGTGCGAGTACCTACATGCAAGAAAACACTTGATACATTGAAAAAGACAGGCGGATACCGGAGCAGCGTGGCAGGGTTCTCTTCGCGCTTGGCCAAGGCCGCTTGGATCGCAGGCGCAATGGCGTCCATGCGGCCGCGCACCGACTCTAGCTCTCGCCGTGAGCCCAATTCGTAATGGCAAACCCATATGCAGGTACCGTGGAGGGCGTCGACCAAGACGAGACCGTCGCATTGCAGCGAGAGCGACGACGACGGAAGGTCCGCAGCGAGCTGACTGTCGTAGGAATGCATCAGTACAAAAGACGATCGAGACAGTAGATGCGGTCGTACCGCATGTTGTAGCCGCCGTTGCCGTGGCCGACGAGCACGAGCTGCTTGTTGGCGACGTCGAGCTGGGCAAGCACCGCCATGTACTCCTTGGAGATCTACGCAGCGCATGGTCACATGCAAAGCTGTAGCAGGATACAAGGTACCGTGTCAACGGACCGCGGGAGCGCACCGGGCGTCGAGTAGCCGAGGCCCGGGCGGTCGATCGCGATCACGGTCGCAAATTCAGCGAGCTAGAACGCACGGTAATGTCGATACGAGGTGTATATCGCGTTGCCTACCTTGGGCGCAACCTTTTCAAAGTCGAAGGACGTCTCGCCGGCGCTGCCATCGAGAAGCACGACGACAGGCGACGTCGCGTGGCGGTAGACGCGCGTGTGAACACGACCGCTGTGGCCGTCGACGTCAATGTCGAGGAGCTCACCCGGCGGCGTCAGCGGATGCATATGCTTGTAGTTCTCGACCACATAGCCGCCAATGAGCGTCGTGCCCGTGATGAACGTCACCGTCTACGACGCCGATATCACACACGATTGCTTTGGGATGTGCGGACGTACGCCAAAGAGGAGCTTGGCGACCTCCTTGGCCTCGTTGGCGACAAACGACCCCGTGACCTTGAAGCCTTGGGACGGCGGCGCCTGGCTAGAGAAGGCGCGAAGCGGCGCGCGGCGAACGATGCGACGCAGCATGGTACGCGGTGGTGCAAAGTCGCAAAAAAACAGACTCGAAAACGAGTGGCACAAATGTTGGAGTTAAAATGACCAAATAAAAAATAAAAACAGTCCTTGACGGGACTCGAACCCGCAATCTCCGCCTTCGGAGAGCGATGCCTTATCCATTAGGCCACAAGGACTTGCTTGAAAGGCGTCGGAAACAATACTAGTATCAAATTGCCACTTTTTCTGCTACAGGTAGCATGGGTCATGACCAAGGGATATAATAATCCCTTGGTCATGACGTAGTAGGATGCGAGTCTCGTCGTCAACTGCTTGATCTTTACTCGTATCGTAGTGTAATTCTTGGCGTAATTCTTCGGTCTCTTGCGTGATGGATCTCTGCTGAATACCGGTATTTGTGTTTTGTAGTTCATCGCAGAGTTGCCAGCAGTGCCAGGGGATCTGTTGCTTGTTTGACGCGTGGGTGTGTGAATGACCAGCTACCTTTTCGCAGCAGGACTCGCCAATAGACGTCGTATTCATGAGATTTCCTTTATAAATAAGACGCAGGCGTTGAAGAGGCGTTTTGGCGCCAATTTGGCCCAATCACATGTCGTGAATCCGAAAAGCGGCCGTTGCCCAAGATGGCGCATTCACGGTCGCCTTGCTCGTAGCGCCAGGCATTACCGAGTCGGTGCATTCCCGCGCACGCATGAGCTCGCCGACCATTCAGCCGCGGAGTGCGCCACCGCCAGCCCCCGTGGGTCAAGATCGCATGAATTGGCTCGCGGGCTTCAAGCCCAACAAAAAAGGCGGCCTTGTGTTTGACGACAAGGTTGTTCTAAAGAAACAGCAAGGCGTCGTCAAGGATGTCATGGTGCAGCTGGGCGCGCAGCTCCTGAGCGGGAAGCTTGCGGTGCGGCTCTCGCTTCCAATCCGCGTCTTTGAGCCGCGCTCGCTTCTCGAGCGGGTCGCGGAAGCCTGGTACCACAATATGTCCTCATGCATTCCTGACCTCCTATGTCTAGGTCGTATGCACCAACGTATTTAACCAAGGCCGCGACAACCATGGACGCCATCGAGCGTCTGACGAATGTCATGGCGTTTGTCGTCAGCGGTCTGCACTGCTGCGTCAACCAAAACAAACCATTCAACCCGATCTTGGGCGAAACGTACGAGAGCAGCTTGCACGACGGCACGCTGATCTACATGGAGCACGTACAGTACGTGCTTGGATCCGGTCGACGCTCCTCTATACGCTACATAGGCACCATCCGCCGGTCGCGGCGTTCCTTGTCCTCGGGCCCAAAGAATCGTACTCGCTCCACGGGCGGTACGAATTCGAGTCGTCCATGTCGGGCAACACGATCACCAATTTCCAAGTATTTTCAAAGAAGACACTTTGACTTTGTGCAGCCAAATTGAACAAATATGGTAGAACGGCACGACCACGTTCGAGTGTCCCAACGGCAAAGTCAAATATGAAGTGCCGCAGCTCAAGGTTGACGATCGCCAGTGCATCATCACGCATCGATCCATGGGTGATGGTAGATGGGAGGCGTCATGCTCGGCGACCGTCTCGTCGAGTGGACAGGCGTCGCACGGTTTGCCGACGCGACAGCCGGCCTCGGCGGCTCGCTGGACTTTGACGGGAACGATGGCATTTTTGGCCGGTCGGCCGGCGACGACATCAAAGGATCGATCCACAACCTCAAGGTACCGTCCGGCGCGCGTTCAAAACTCAACTTGGTGTCTAGAAGGGCACCAAGCCCAGCGTCCACATCAAGATCCAAGGCTCGTGGCTCTCACAGCTACGGTTCGACGGCAACGTCGTCTGGGACGTGACGACGGCGCCGGTCGCGCTGCCAGTACCCGTGCCAGTTGCGCTTCCGTCCGACTGCCGCTATCGCGACGACCTCATCGAACTCCGCGCCAACGACATCGAGAAGGCCCAGGCGAGCAAACTTCGCTTGGAGGAGCTCCAGCGAAATGACAAGAAGCGGCGTAGTGAAAAGCCAAAATCGACGAAAAAGACCAAATAATGGCGCAAGACAGGTCTTATTACAAACGTATTCTTGGAGGCCATAACTCTTTTACTGCGACTTGGCAAACGCCTCGACCTTGACGGCGTCTTCCTCGGCCGCGTGCTGCTGCGCGAATTGCTCAATGCACGAGATCGCGAAGAAGCCCATAAAGGCCACCATGACGAGCGACCCGAGCTGCGAGATGAGGCTCGAGCTTCCCTCGGCGCCCGTCTCGTGGGCAAGCTTGGCCGAGTCCGACGCAGCGTGGAACTTGTTGCGGCATTCAAGGAGAAAGTCGCTGACCTTTTGGTCGAGCGCCCACGACGTTGGCGTGACAGCGCCGATAAACTGCTCAATCTGCTTCATGTGCGCGTCCGTGAAGATCGTGATGAAGAACGCGGCCTGCATGTTGACCTTGATGAGCGCCTTCCCGATGAGCGTCGCGCCAAAGAAGGTCCAGAACGGCATTAAGAAGTGGCCGCAGCAAATACCACAGAGGTCGAACGCCATGTTGGGCCACGCCGACATGAGGAGGACACCCCAAAAGCCGTGGCGCTGGAGGAACCCGATCATCCAGTCCTTCATACGGTTCATGACGTTGTACTCGGACGACGACTCGGCGATTTCCTCAAACTCTTCGTTGCGCTGGCCAGCGAGGCGCGCGGCGCGGCTGAGAGCATACGGCGGGATCTCGCCCATGGCCGTGCCCGCGCCCCAGAGCATGCTTGGGAGAAAGACCTTGAGAAAGATCTTGGCAAACGTCACCGAGCTCGATGCTGGCACGCTCGCGCAGTTGGCTTCAAACGACCGGAACCACGTGTGGTGGAACGTGTCAAAGTCGAGCGACTGGCAGATCTCGGCGCCCTGCACGACGAGGAAGATGTGCGGGAAGAGGAAGAGAATGCCCGAGTGCATGCCCGTGCCAAGGCCCACGGACGAGAGCACGCCGAGCCCGACCCACCACACGACAAACTCGACGTACGTGTTGAACTGGGCCAAGAGCACTTGGTGCTCGCCGTCGGTCTTGGTCGCGCCGAGCCAGATCAAGAAGAGCGGCAGCGCCACGAAGCGCGTAACGTTGTGCTGCACGAGGTAGATGGCAAACCACTTGAGAAAGCCGACAAGGACGATCGAGAAGTGGTAGAGCACGGCGAGCGGCCGGCGAAAGAGCGTGAGCTTCTTGCGCTGCTCGCGGAGCTCGGCCTCATACGCGACGACGGCCGGGCTCTTGGCGTCGGCGGCCGGCGGCACGGCCTTGGTGGCGTTGGCGGGCGTCGACTTGGCTGCCTTCTTAGCCATCGTGAGCTCGAAGTTGACAAAGCAAGTCTGTCCACACCTCAGGGGTAACCAACTTCCTCTTCCGTCATCATCGCAGGAGCCAATCAAAAAGTGACGTTTCATTATTTTTGAATCAATTGGCCAATGGAAATCGCGCAAATCGAAAGATTGCACCAATCCGAGACGCACACTGCCGGGGCGACGCGACGCTACCGACCGATTCGCGATTATGAGACTCGACGAAGACGCGCAAGCACGACCTGCTCTATGCAACGCGTGACCTCGTGGCTGGTAAACGCCTGCCATGTATATACGTGTACATTGCAGAATGCATTCAAATGTGCAATATTGTCCTCTCGCTTCCTTGAGAAATATCCATTTCACCAGCGTCGAGCAACTCTGTCCAAGGTGTTTTTGGCGCCAAGAGAAGAACGCGAGTTATTGTCTGTCCCTTCAACAAAAAGTCGGCTTCCTTGTTCCTCCGCGTCCGAGAAAAAGAAGAAATAGCAGGTACAGTCAGGTACAGTCGTCGTCTCTCTCGCCCGCGAACCCTCCCGACTTGAAATATTACAACCAAGATCAAAGTCGAGCACGAGTCGGCGCTGCATCCTCAAATGTGCATCGTGGAAAGGCTGCAGTGATCTCTGCCGCGTATCAGCTTGATCAACACAGTATCCAAGGCTCACTGGTGTGCCAACTCCTTTTTCCTCAAAGAGACAGCGTCTCCGCGCCGCCCCCTTTTTCTGACGCTTGCGAGACCCTTGTGCTGTCTCGTGCGTCGACTGAACCCGATAAGAGTGTCGTACGCATCGTCTGGTAGCATTGATTACGCCCGAGCTAAACTGCTCTTCGTAATGCCATACTTACTCAGCTGCGTCGTCCACGCGACCAGAAAGTGCCTTAGAAAGAGTTGCAAGAGCGGTAGCGGGAGATGGTCGGCCACATACACGAGGCCTTGGGCGCGACCTTCCGCGTCGAGCGCGTCCTTCCAGGCCAGGGGCTGCCACTCGAAGAGGCACTCGAGCAAGCGACTGCAGTCGGTGTGGACGTACTCGATGTCGCCGACCACTTGCAACTGCTGCTGGTGGCTTGCCGAAGCGCGCAGTGAAGCGATGACCCACGACACGACGCGCTCCAAGCCATCGTCCGACGACGTCCCGCTGTGCGTGACCAGTTGCCACATGCTCAATAGACTGCGCGCTTCCTTGATGTACGCAAAGTACGATGGCACAGGGTGCTTGAGCGTACGTTCGTCCGCGATCACGGCGCGCACGAGGGATACGAGGTCCGATATCCTGAAGTGACCGTCCACCGGCGCCTCTTGGAATCGCCAGTTCCACTCCAGTAGCAAGCCCACATGCATGAGGTCGACGCTCGTGAGTGGAGCGAGGCCATTGCCGGCGGCGAGCGCTTGGACTTCGTGGAGCAAGAGGAAGGGACGGTCGGCCTCAGCCTCGGGCTGGACAGCTCGACAGAGCTTTTGGACGAGCGCGTCGACATTGTCCATGGCTATAAGTCGTTGGATGTGACAATAAGATTTGATAGCACCAAGAAATGAAGAAACGGTCGACGACTTTGCAGTGCAAAGTGGGCACTGCAGTGGAAAGACGACGAATCCAACCACGAAATTTCGAATTCGAAGGCGAGAAAGATCGGTGTTTGAGTTTGAGGTTTGGAGTTTGGTCGTATCCGGATGCCCGGCCGCCGTTTGCGGACACGTGCCAATCGAGGTCATGGCAAAGCAAGCGATCCATGCGGGGCGGCGCGCCTTCAAGCACCAAGGTAGAGCATGAGGATGCGCGCGGGCTCATGGGCGCATATGCTAGGCCAAGTGATCTACGAGTGGGAGCAGTCGCTTGAAGAGGTCAACATCTTCATCAAGCCGCCGCCGGGCGTGACCGCGAGCCACTTGCTCTGCACGATCGCGCCCAGCCACGTCATGCTGGGCATCAAGGGCAACGCCGAGCGCTACCTCGACGTATCTGCATATATGATAGGTGCCATGGTATCTGACGCTACGTGTAGCACGAGCTGACGAGCCAAGTCGTCGTGGCCGAGAGCTACTGGATGCTCGGTAGGCCGTCGTCCTCCATAGGATGATCCCATCGCATCGAGTAGACGGTGGCGAACTCAACATCAACTTGCAAAAGATGAAGAAAGGCTTGACGTGGGACGCGGTGTTTGTCGGCCACGGCGAGGTACGCTGGCGTTGCTGCGACGAGGCGTCTAGTAGCGACATTGGTGTAGCTGGACCCGCTGACAAAGGACGAAGTGCAAAAGAAGCTGCTGCTCGAGCGCTTCCAGCAGGAAAACCCGGGTTTTGACTTTTCCAACGCCGAGTTCAACGGGTCCGCTCCGGACGCACGCACGTTTATGGGCGGCGTCCGCTACAACTAACACTTGGACATGAGGCCCATTCCGCTGCTCGATGAGTGTGAATTGGATAATTGAATTTTCGTTTACATACAATATATTGATGTTGCAATATATTGATTTTGCATAATTGTCCTGAATAATGGCACCAACAATACGTTCTCTTCTTCTCTTGGTTGCTGACATTCATGTAGACACGTGTGTTGGCTCCCACAAGTTATGCGCTAACTACAGTAGTTATCCCACGACCTAGGAACAGTATCAAGTTGATAGAAAACCCACAGAGATAGTAAAACGGACACTAGTCGGTGGTTTCGAATGAGCGAGAAGAAGACGGACGCGGCGACGCGTGCCCGCCAGAGCCGCGCCGCCGAAGCAGCCAAAGCCGCCAAAGCCAAGGCGTCGACGGCCACGAATGGCGGCGTCATTCGCTTCAAAACCACATTTCGCAATACGATCTACGACGCGATGCTTCGGCGCGGCTGGAAAGAAAGGTATATATTGTCATGCACCGCTGCGTCAAAGTGCTATAGCGACACGGACTGGGACTTTTACTGGGCCGACCGCGAGTTCATCTACGATGTGCTTGACACGGTGCACTTGGAAGTGACGCAAAAGGTCAACCATTTCCGCAATGGCCGCGAGGTAGGACGTGCGCCAGCTACCTGCCGTCGTATCATGTGTGTCTAGCTCTGCCGAAAGGACCTTTTGATCAAGAACCTCAAGCGCGCGCGTCGGGCGCAACGCAAGTAGGTGGTTTGTCGTGGGACAAATGGTGTGAAATGCGCGCGTCTAGTGAGCGCAGTACCGAGGAATACCCGTATGACTTTTTCCCGATCACGTACATCCTCCCGGGCGAATATTCCATGTTTGTCGAGGTACGAGTCAATATTGTCTGTTAGACAATATTGTCTATCACGCTCTATGCAATAATGTCGTGTGTAGGAGTTTAAGCGCAACCAAGGCATCTGGATTATGAAGCCGATCGGCAAGTACGTTCATATATTTGCTTTCGTGCATTGTGGAGAACGAGCAAACGACCATTCGCGCAGGGCCCAAGGCAAAGGCATTTTCCTCTTTACAAAGCTGAGCCAAATCAGCGATTGGCGCACCGACTACCGGTACAAGCCCGAGAACCAGCAAGTCGAGACGTACGTCGTGCAAAAGTACATCTCCAACCCGTATTTGGTCGGCGGCAAAAAGGTGTGGGGTTGTATCGTGTTGATAGATTGATACGAGGTGGCCTGTAGTTTGATTTGCGCTTGTATGCGCTCGTCACGAGCTTCTCGCCGCTCGAGATTTATATGTACCGGAGCGGCTTTGCGCGCTTCACCAACTCGCGCTACTCGAACAACGCGAGCGACATTGAGAATTCGTTTATTCACTTGACCAACGTCGCGATTCAGAAAACGTCGGAAAATTACAACAAAAAACACGGCGGCAAGTGGGACTTGAAGAGCCTCAAGCTCTACATGATGTCCAAGCACGGCTGCGCGCGCATCGACCAGCTCTTTTACGAAATCCAAATGGTCATTGTGCGCTCGCTCCAGAGGTATTTCTTATCTTTGTACTGACTACATTATCCTGTTCGATGCAATAGCGTCGAAAAGATCATTATCAGCGACAAGCACTGCTTTGAGCTCTACGGCTACGACATCATGATCGACGAAAACCTCAAGCCGTGGCTCCTCGAAGTCAACGCATCGCCCTCCGTACGTCGTCGCATCTTCTCAATTTATAAATATGAAATTATGCTAGCTCTCGGCCAACACGTCGGCCGACTACCAGCTCAAGTGCGGCATGCTCAACGACATGTTGGACATTATCGACCTCGAAAACAAGTACGACACATTTTCACGCTGCGTAATGTTGTATCATGGACGTTGCAGGTCCAAGGCAAAGGAAGATCGCGTCGGAGGCTTTGATCTCGTCTACCGCGACGGTCTCATCGGCAAGGACGAGCGTTGCCTCTATTCGTCGCTTCTAGGTAATACTGCATCTCCCTCTTCGCACACGCAAGTCATGGCGTAGGCGCCGACTTCAAGCGCAACCCGCTCCGAAAGCTCCCAACGGGCAGCGCGTAGCGCCCCTGTACTGCATGGAAAACACCACGGGTGGCAACAAGACAATATTATCCATACATAGCAAATAATGCGAAATTTGTTCATTTTTTTCTGTTTACGGCTTGACGGGGCTCTTGAGCCGGCCGTGCTTGAGCTCAATGAGGTTGTCACCTTGGGTTTTGGGCGACGGTTCCATCGCTGTGGCACTACTGACAGCGTTGACATTGACCGGGAGACTCAGCGCCAGTGCCGCGCGGTTGGCCTTGACCAACGATGCACCCGGCACAACGACCGCTGGGGAACTCGACCGGAAGATGTTGGCACTTGTGCGCTGCTTGGTTTTGCATGGCGACACCGCGACAATGTGCGACTCGGCCGAGCTTCCGTCGTTGTTAGCATCGTCGTCGTCGGTCATTGGGCGCTTGGCAAGCCACATTTTCTTCTCGATCGACTCCATGTACTGCTGCTGCGGGCCAATGACGCTGCCGGCGCGACAGAGGCGCAGCCACCCAATGCACTCTTTGGCCGAGAACTTGTCGTGCTTCATAATGTACGCGCCAATGCATGTGCCCGTGCGCCCGAGGCCGGCCTTGCAGTGCACCGCGACCGCGCCGCGCGTGGCTTCGCAGGCTTGGATGAACTGGAGCAAAATGGCCTCGGGCGGGTTGCCACCGTCAGGGTAATAGAGCTCGAGGTGGTCAATCCCTGCGTCAAGGAACCGCTTCTCGTCGTAGAGTTTTTCGTTGAGCCGGACGACGAGCGTCACGTTGTGCGCTTTGAAGTACGGAAGATAATGCTCGGGCGTGAGCGAGATGTACCCTTCGATCGTTTGCTTGTACTCGTCGTACGGGCCCGCAAACGCAATGAACTTTGGCGAGAGCCAATTCAAATCGCCGTGCTCGACTTGTTCGTAGTGCTGGTATTCTTCAATGTTGAAGGTCTCGGGCGATAGGTACTTGCACGACAGCGCCTTCTCGAGGCCGCGCAAACAGTCGAGCACCGTGAGCTTGAAGAGGCAAATGGACGGCGTCGCATCGTGAAAGCTGGGCAGCGCGAGGCCATGGAACGGCGCAAAGGCGTCCACCGCCGACATGCCGTTGAAGAGGATGCCCCAGCAGCCCAAGAGACAGATGGCATTCGCGCGCCGCTTGCCATCGTGGGCCGAGTAAAACACAATTTCTTTGGACGACGCCTTGGCTTTTGCCACTTCGTGGTTGAGAATGTGGCAAAATTGAAAGGTTTGGCCGAGGTTGAGGGGGCCAAAGTCGAGGTAGAAATTGGCATACAAGAGCTGCTTGTCAATGGAAAACACGGTGCGGGACGGGCTCGGGCGCGGCACCTCGGTGTCGCGGACCGCCACGTAATAGAGAAGCCCGGGGACGAACGGCACTGCATCCGGCAAGGTTCCTGTGTCCATGGCAGCCGAAAATGGCAATTGAATATGGCTCATGCGTGTCAACGCGCCACAATTCTATTTTTATCCAATCATCGATATACAACGGCGGGCTTTCCGCCAATCATACATCGACCATGGTGGCATTTCAGCCAATGAATGTGGACGATATCTATTTCGATCCAAGTGCAGTTGAAGTGCTGGCAACTCGAGCGGCTGGCGTCGGATCTATGTCCCGTATATATCTATTATTCGGTTAGCAATATTACTTGTACCGGTACACGCTCAAGATGCTAACGCCAGTCGCCAGTGGCTTTGGAAAGGCCCATCGCTGGCGACATGCCATCTCGCCACGGAACGTTCGTCGGCGCCGACCACGCGCATCTCCTACCGGAGCCAACGTCCGAGACACATGTGCACTTCCGAATCGATCGAAGCCATGGCCCCAGTACGGTTCGCCATACATGCGTCGCGGGCGCTCGAGGCCACGAGTGCGCTTACGCATGTGCGCCGACGACAGCACCACATTATGAACCGTTCGATGCTCGAAATGCTGCCAACCACGATCAACACGACGGCTGCCTCAATACGCAACGACACGGGCGGCTCGACGATCACGAGCGACTCGGTGCCGCTGAGTGCGCCGTTCTGCAACCCCGTGGCCTGTCAGCTCTTGAGCGTCGTTGCTGTTGTCGGCGTAGTCGCGATCCTCCTCGCCATGGTCTGGCAAGTCTACCAGCGCCACCTCTTCAAGCGCGAGCGCCTTCGGTTCCAAGAACGCGAGACGGAATTGCGCACGGCCATGGAGTACATTGAGAGCTCTCGGAGCCTCCACTCCAACCGGAGTGGCACGGCGTCCGACCAGAGCTGGGTCGCGTCCGAGCGCAGCTGGGTACCGCCCGCGAATGCACGACCATGTGACGACACGGCGATGCTCGAGCCATGAAGCTGCGCTTCCATGTTTTGTGTGCGTGCAATCTCCGGTTTAGTATACAATAAAACAATGTACAGTCTAGTAACACCGTCCTTTTGACATGACGAAGGCTTGAACCACTGCGTCTTGGCCGTAGCTTCAACGCATGATTGCTGCGCGGACGAAGGAGCTTCGTGTTGAAGCCAACTGCAAAGGCGATCGGCGCAGGGGTGCCCACAGTTGCATTTGAGTACAGTGCTATGCTATGCTGTTCAGCAGGATATTGCTCTTGAAGCGACATCATTCCCGTGTTGATGCGTCACTTCTCGTCTGGACGAATCTTGCTGGCACTCCCACTCTGCCCAGCGGTCTCCATTGACGGTTCACTTACCGCATATTGACACGTTGCATGAGTCATTCGATGACGTCTTATTGCGCGCCCGGCAGTTGGTACGTCGAGCTCGAGAGGTGCGAGCAGCCGCTCATGTGCACGTGCACGCGACTGCCCGCCGTGTCTTTTTCCAGCGTCGCCACGACACTACACCCCAGCGGGTTGCCGCAGAGCACGAGCGTCTCGAGCGAAGCGTGGTGCGACAGCGCCTTGAGCAACTGCTTCATGTCGAGGATCGCGAGCACGTTATTATGACCCACGTCGAGGTGCCGTAGCACCTTGTTGGTCCCAAGTGCCTTGGTGAGCGCTGCAAAGCCCATGTCCCCCGCCGCGTTGTAGCTCAAGACCAGCTCGTTCAGCGTCCCGTTGTCGGTGAGCGCCGCTGCCATGGGCACGATGTGCAGTCCACGAAAGATGTTCCACGATAAATCCAAGCGCTTGATGGTCGGGTGCACGCGGAGAAGGTGGGCGACCGCGTGGCCGCAGCTGAGCTCGTTCCGGCGCAGCGAGAGCGTTCGCAGGGACCGATTCGACGACGCAATGTCCTCCATGAGCGCCTTGCCGACAAGGTTGCCGAGCTTGTTGTTGTCGAGGCAGAGCACTTGAAGGCGACACGTTTTCGACGAAAGGACGTCGCGGAGCGCGCGGGCACCAATGGCGCCGATGGCGTTATCGGACAAATCGAGCTCGAGCACGCTCGGTTGGCTGCTGTGAACCGCGTGGACGATGGCCTCGCAGCCCTTGTCGCGGACGTCGTTGCCGCGGACGCGGAGCGTGTGCAGCTTGCGCGTCGGTAGCTGGAGGAATTGGCCCATCTTCTGCATATTGCGATCGCCCAGCATGCACTCGGCAAGGTCCAAGATGCCCGAGTCATTGGTCAGCGGCAGCGGCGACGCATGAAGCACGGGCGCGTTCTCGTCGACATGGTGCACTGCAGCAATCAAGCCACCCCAATCCCAGTCGGCTTCCCATCGCCACGCCTCCCAGTCCCACGGCTTCTTGCCGCTATGCGCGGCTTGCGTCTCGCGGTAGCTCGCGTAGAGTCGCTGCACGTCGCGCAACGGCCGGTGCCATGCGTGCCCCACACCGTTCAAGTCGACGTCGGCGAGCCAGTGCCTTGAGAGCAGTTGATGAAAGATGGCTTCTTCGTCCGCGGTCGCGGGGGGGATGTTGGCCCGGTCATAACACTGCTGCCGCGTCGCATCGATGGCCGCCGCAAGGGTGGCTTCTTCCATGTTGCACGCGCGGTCAAGGTCGAGATACAGCTGCTGCGCTTGGTGGTTCCACGCGCCAAGGATGAGCTCGAGGAACGCGTCGCCGTCGACTTTGCGCGTCCCGTTCGCGTTGCGCATCGACGAGCTGAGGCGACTGACTTGCTCGAGGAGGTCGGCCTCGGCACCCGCTGGCCACCCGCGCTCCACTAACCCATACATATCAATGTAGCGACCTATCAACCTTTCAATCTATCGATAGAAACGCGCACCCTGCAGCTCGGCGCACGTTGGCGCAAGGTACTCGAACGTCCAGTAGGGGTCGGGTTCATGGAAGAGGTCGCGCACGACGCGGCGCGCGGCGGCTTGGCCAAACCCAATGCTGTGAAAGACCACGCACGCGACCGATGCAATGTCGTCGTAGGTCGCGAGGCCCTTGGCAGCGTCGTTGGTCTTGAGCCGGTACATGCGCTCGATGACGCGCAAGAAGAGGGTCGTTTTTTCTTTCGGGTTGAAGGGATCGGTGACGCCAACGAGGTTGGCAAAGCACCGAATGCGCGGGTGCGTCGTTGTGTGCACGAGCGACGCGATCGTCGCTTGCAGGAGTTCGAGTCCGTGCTTCCTATCGCCGTGATTTAGAATCCAAAAATCGATAACCTCAAAGGTGAAAAGCGCGCACCGGCTCGTCGACCGCTGCAGGATCGCGTTGGCATAGTACTCTGCAAACGATTCTTTGCCGATCGTCTCCGCGTAGTGCACGACGCACGTCTCGTATGCCTCGAGGATCGACGAGAGAAGCACCGCAATATGGACTCGGCGTTCCTTCGTCTTCTTCCCGACGCCGCTCTCGGGCCGCGTCTTGTGCTGGAGGAGCGGGTTGACGACCGCAGCGCGCCACGTCCGCACGCGCTTGCAGCTCTGCCGCATTTGGTCGCGCCGCGCCGGCTACGTTATCCGACGACCTCGATAGCTGCTATTTGCAAGCGAGTACCTCGTATTCGGGGTCGCCATGGGAGAAGAACGAAGAAGCAAGCGCCGACGTGACGAGATGCTGCGCGGTGGGCAGGGCCACGACGGTCGTCTCCTTGGGCATCGTATGTACGGAGGCGTTATGACTATGGGCGTTTTGGCTCAAGTATTTACACAACTATTGATCTCTATACGCGATGGGCGACCCGGTCGTCAAGCTCACGCTCCTCGGGAACGGCTCGGTCGGCAAGTCGAGCATCATTGCCCGCTTCGTCGCCGATGGTTTTGAAAAGCAGTACATGCAGACAGTCGGGCTCGACTTTTTCGAGAAGAAGCTCCAGTTCCCGCGCGACCAGCGGGTGGTTCTCGAGGTCGACACTGCTACTAGCTACCGATTTGACGATGGCGTAGGTCTGGGACATTGGCGGGCAAAACATGACGAGCAAGATGCTCGACAAGTACCTCTTTGGCGCCACCGTCATCTTCCTTTGCTACGACGTGACGGACGCCAAGTCTTTTGCCGACCTCGACGACTGGCTGCATGTCGTGCCGACGAGTTCAAAGCGATTGTGTGTCTACCTCGTCGGCAACAAGATCGATCTGCGCCATCTCCGCGTCGTGTCGCTGGACGCGCACAACGCCTTTGTGAAAAAGCATGCGCTCCACGGCGGCTTTCTCCTCTCGGCGCAGAGCGGCGACAACGTGCTTCGCAGTGTGCACCAGATAGCTGCGCGCGCGATTGGTGTCGAGCTCAGCGAGTACGAGCTGCAGTTCTACGATGCGCCCGTGGTCGCAACCGTCGTCGACACGGCCGACCACCGGACAGCGATCGCCGACGCCATCGAAGCCGAAGACCTCCGCCTCGAAGAAGCCAAACAGAAGAAGAGAGCAAAGCGAGCAAACTGTGCGATCATGTAATTCAGCTGCAAGTACTACTACTCGGTTGGCATCGCTCGTCGTCGGGCAGCAAGGGAGGGAGGTTGCGCTTCCGAAGAAGCTGCATCGAGTCCTCGATCGAGCGAAGACTGTGCGCGGCGACTACACATAACACACTGAGTACCGACATTCATACGTTGAATTACTACCGTCGCTGGCAGAAGCAAACGTGAGGAGGCGCTGGAGACTGTCGAGGTGAATGGCCTGTGCATAGTCCACAGCGGTATAGCTTCGGAGGGTCCCCAGTGCGTGGGCAATGCACTCGATGCAGCGTGCGAGCTGCTCTATGGGCAGCGACCCTACGTCGCGATGCATAAAGGTCTTACGTGTGCTCAATAGACAACCTGTCTTCTCGAGTAGCAGCAGAAGCAAGGTCACGCCGTGGGCTTGGATAGCGACGTTGTGCGCATGACGCTCCAGAATATGCAGCCACGTCGGCAGCAGTCCGTTCACGAGCAGCTTGTGCCGGTTTTCTAATGAATGCGTCTACTTTGTATCAATCTTTCAAGAGCGAACCGTCGCAAGGCGCGAGACGCACGATGGCGCGACACGACTGTTCCATGAGTCGCTCCGACTGCGGGAAGAGCGCGATCGACTTGATGGCTTCGTATTTTTCTACGGCATTGTGTTCTGTCCTGCGAGTGGTAGATATAGGACGAGGGACCTTGACTGCGCGTCGTGATGACCGTAATCTTGGCTTCGACCTCCGTGATCTCGTCCTTGATCCGATCGATGGCGGCCAGAACGCGCGTGTGCTCGTCGGCCTGGTCGAGAATCGCAGCCTCGGTTTCCACAAGTAGAGCCGCGCGCTCCGTGGCTTGGGTCTCAAGCGCGGCGATGGCGGTTTGCGACAACCGAATGCTCTCGCGCGTCGACGCAATCTCAGCCGCCAAGGTCGCACACACCTCCTTGGACCGGTGTCGGAATTTACGCATGTCGTAAAGCTGCGTTCGGGCCTCAAAGTTGGCGTGGGCTTGCGCCTCGAGGCGGCGCGACAGCGTCTGCAGCGACTGCGACGCGGCCACGTTCACTTTCTGAAGCAGCGCGCTCTTCTCGATGCTGGCAATGATCGTCGCATGCAGCGGCGACACGAGGCATGGAAACACGAGCTCGTGCCATGGCGCTTGGAGAAAGGGCGGGCGGTCCTTCTATATCGCAAGCGGCTGCAGGCGCCACAACGGCACAGGTTGCGAGTACCTTGTCGTGGGCCGCGACGTGGGCGCCCGCCGATACAAGAAAGAGCGCGACGGCCTACAAGAGCTCAACATCGTCGTTCGAATGGTATGGTGCGTACGCGGTGCCGGTGGGCGACCGCGAGGTGCAGTGGTGTCGTGCCGTCCTGCATAGGCTTGTTCATGACCCCAATTCACCGGTTTGCTGGCGAGCGTACCTTGGCCGATGCGTGGACCGAGCCTTGCCGCGCAAGGATGAACTTGCACATGTCCTAGGCGCGGCGACGTAAGGCCATGTACGCAATGGCGTCGGCGCACGAGGTTGCCGTGCATGGCCGCGTAGTGCATGGCGGTCAGTTGGTTGTTCTAGTCCATGGCATCGTGAGCACGCGGTGGCCTGGACAAGATGGATGCGTACGCCGTAGGTCTCGTGGACATTCGCGCCGGCCGTGAGGAGCGTCTTGGCGACTTCATACTGCTCGCGCTTGCAGCACGCGACGACCGAGTCGGCGTCCATGCAAGATCGTCCGGATAACGTGCCACCGACCGGATACGAGCGGCAAGCACGGATTTGTTGGGCAGTCGCCAGAAGAAGCCGCGCAGCATGTACCTCCGCGTCAAGCGCCGCCAGCAGTCGTTCTTTGTGCTCACAGAGCCGCACGAGGCCTTTGTCAAGATCAAGGAAACGATCGCGTCCATCTTGGGCCTGTCCGGGCCGGGCCAAGTCCAGCTGTGGCACACCAACAAGGTAGCCATCGCTACTGGGGCAACGTAGCTCACGCCGCCGTAGCAAAAGGAGCTCTTGGACGTGGCAACTGTCGCCGACCAAGAGCTCGAGAACGACGCTGTGATTTACCTCTGCCTCAAGAAAGAGAGTACCGCCAACGACGTATGACCTGGCGTGACATATTGGCTCGTCTGTATTAGATACCGAGCAGTGGGAAGACATCCAAGTCGCCAAGCTCGAGCTCGAGCACGACAGCAACAACAACCGCGCGGCCGTGGAATAAGACGGCGGGTCCAGCGCCAATCGACAGGAACCCGTTAATATAGTTCGATATTTCATTCTATCCGAAATGCACACGCGGGTCCTGAGCCGGCGTCCGCAGACGCATGACGCCAGCGTCGCCTTGGACGACGAGCTTGTATGCCTCTTAATGGAGATCGAGCGCATCTACCTCCAGCACCCAAGACATCTCCAGTACGAGGCCGCCTCTACCGACGTGGCGCCACCGTCGCGTGTAGGATCCGCATCGAACGCTGGGTCGACAAGATCTCAGAGCCCATTCTCAATGTCCAGTGGAAGCGCAGCGCCAACGACCACGCTCTCTTGCTGCTCGAGATGACGCGGTCCGGGGTTGACACACATACTCCAACGACACCTTGCTCAGGTGGCGTAGGTCTTTCGAGCTCCGTTCGATCGCAACCCGCCGCACGGACCACTGCGGACGCTACCACGCTATATGGTATCGCACCGACGAAGAAGCATTGCAGACAAGTTGTCGTTGCGGCTAGATTCATGCCCGCGACAGCGTCACCAACAAGCCGCTCGCGCGGGACGGCAAGCATTCCTGGGGCCAAGCTTACGAGCGCGTTGTGATGCGCACCTCGTCGCCGGTTCGAACCACACGATCTGCTGGTGCACGTCGTGACGTGGCACGATGGTAGGCCGAGGTGCACACGCCGCGTGCGACTCGATCGGCATCGTATGTGGAAATGACCAACCAAACGCTCGATGCACTCGAGACGTCGCTCGAGTCGGAGCGCACCAAGTGCGCAGCTTTAACGGCCCAAGTGCAGGTAACCTTGGCGGCACATCTCGGTCGCAGCGGCTCACGCAGAGTTGTAGGAGCTCAAGGTGGTTGCGAGTACGCAGGCCGACGCGCTCGCCGCTGTCAAGCACGAGTTAAAACACGTCAAGAACCTTCACCAGCGTGAGATTGAGCGCTTGCAGCAGCTCCACGCTGTCGACATCGACACACTCAAGAAGCGCCACCACGAGCAGGTACCTCCTCCATGCAACGGGAGCTCTCCAATATATTCAGATGCAACGCGCGATTCTTGCCAACGACCGGGTACTCGCTGCCCAGCGCGCCGATGCCAGCGTACGTTGGCTCTGCTGTCGCGAGCTCATGCGGCGCGCTTAGGTGGCGCCGAGTGGCTGCGCCTCGAGTGTCGACGAGTTCCTTAGCTTCATTGAGCGCTTCCAGCACGAAACAGCGGTGCTCACGCAACACTCATACACGCCTGCCACGCCCAAGTCTCGAGCTCTATAGTATAAGACTCGAACTCACATAAGTCTTGAGCTTACAAAAGACTCGAGCCTTCATAAGACTCGAGCGGAATTGTGTCGGTGGCGCGTCGGCGCTTCGGGTCGCTTTTCGCGGGAAGGTCCGTCGCCACGTGATTGGCTGTGTGCGATGCACGCGATTGGGTACGTGCGTGGTGCGTGCGATGTGATTGGGCAGCACGGCAGCCGGTGGTCCGTGTTACTTTCCCTTTCTGCATACAAATGCCAAGTGAATATTATTTTAATGTCGCTGCGTACGGTGATTCTATTTCTGTATATAATAAAATACTTGGCAACCGCCAAATTTGAATTTGGGCGTAGTACCGTCATTCCGCCGACCATGATGAAGAAGCAGCGGTCGCTCCATGAGTACTTCGTCAAGCCCAAGCGCAAGGCCGTCGTCCTGGATGAGGCCGACGCGGACGCGGCCGACGACGTCGTCGAGCGCCGGACCGCGCTGGAGACGACCCTGAACTTTGACGACGACGACGACGACGCCGAGGACGACGACGACGGCGATGAGCCACAGCCCAAGCGCATCGACTTCAACGCGCTCTTGAGCCAGACGCAAAAGTCCGAGCCCGATTACGAACAGCCACCAGAGCTCGAGCCGCCGGCGTACCACCCGTGGAGCCAGGACTTTGGCACGGCGCCGTGCTTCTCGAACATGTACAGCCAAGACGCCTTTTGCGACTTTTCGACGCCGCAGGACCAGCCTGTGCTGCACATGTCCCATCCGCGGTCGCCGTCGCCGGTCAAGAAGCGGCCGCGCACGGTGCCACGCCTCACAGTGATGCCCTTCAACGAGAGCCCCATTGCGCCGGCGCGTGCCAAGCCCGATGCAGAAGGTACGTGCATGCAGTGGGGCATGGAGACGGAGCATGGCAGTAGGCACACACAAAGCACCACTGCGCCCGACGACGACGCCGATGAAGCAGAAGCCGATCGCGCTCCCACGCCCTGTCGCGTCCATCCCGGAAGAAATGTACGCAGCGAGGCTATCCTGCAAGATGAACTCTTATGCTTGTAGCGCGTCGGTGCCGGAAATCAACACCAACCCGTTCGCGGCCGCCATGGACGACCGGCGACGGCCCAAGAAGCGCAGTCTGCCTCCGCCTCGTACGGTTTGTGTCGAGACCTCGCTCACCCGTCGATGTAGTGTGGCTCGGTACAACCAACTCGTCGACGTCCAAGTACCTGCTCGAGTTTGTCGAGCAAGAGGTACGACGACGTTGCGTCTCCACATTGCCTACGGCGACTAGGTCCTTGGCTCCGGCTCGTTCTCCAAAGTGCTCAAGTGCATCAAACGGTTTGACGGCTGGGTGTATGCCATCAAGAAGAGCAAGCGCCATTTTCGTGGCAACTCGGACAAGTACTGTCTGCCCTGCTTCATACATTTGCTCAAGAGCGAGTAGGCAGCGCGCGCTGCGCGAAGTCCACGCGCTCGCTGCGCTCAGCGCAAGCCCCCACATTGTGCAGTACTTTGACGCATGGATCGAAGACGACCTGTTGTACATTCAGCTCGAGTACTGCCATGGCTGTTCGCTGCAGTCGTTCCTCGCCGAGAGCAAGCCGATCGCCGAGGTCACGCTGCGCAAGCTGCTCGCCCACATTGCCAGAGTACGCGGCTTCCGCGGCGACGTTGGCTTGACGCTGCGTAGGCACTGCGGGACATGCACGCGCTCAAGCTCGTGCACATGGATATCAAGGTCGACAATATGCTCCGCGCCGCCAACGGCGTCTACAAGGTTGGTCCGTCTCGGAGTCTTTTGTCAAAGGGAAATGGTAGCTTGGCGACCTTGGCACCGTCGTGTCCATGGACGGGGCCATGGAAATCATGGAGGGCGACTACCGGTACCTGTCGCGCGAGCTCCTCGAGGGCAATCGGTCCCACCTGAGCGCCGGCGACATATTTGCTCTGGGCGCGTCCATATACGAACTGGTGCGACCGACGCGCGGTGCAAAGGCTCACACATGACGCAGGCGCGTGGCGTGCCCCTGCCTTCCGAGGGCGACGAGTGGCAAACCATTCGCGACGGCGACCTCGCGACGTTCCGGTACGTCGGTGGTGACGTGGAGCTGGCTGGTCCAATGGTACCGATGTAGGCACTATTCGAGCTCGCTCCAGCATCTCATTGGGGTGCGTGGCTTTGCTTTGCCGGACGACCAATCTCATGCATGCCGTGAGTGTAGAGTATGATGCACCCGGACCCGCTCCAGCGCCCGACCGCCGACGAGATCCTGCAGCACGAAGCCATCTTGGCCGTCGCCGACGCCTAGTGCTAGATCTAACTCGAACCAAATGTCACACTTGGCCACGCTCAAACTCTCGGTGTGCACCGGAGCATTCTCCCAGCATGTCAAGGCACTGGTCCACGTTCGAGGACGAACCACTCGTCGAAGATAATGGCGAGAGGTCGGATCGGCTGGCTAATATAGAACAGAAACGGTATGCTTGGCTGCCTCCCGTCGGTCCGCGACTACCTCGTCGGCCACTGGTGCGTGGCCAAAGACATGGAAGCGGACGTCGTCGACTCGCTCACGACGACGCCGTCGACACCGCGGCTGCCAATGCATCTGGACCTGGCGTCCGACGACCTCCTTACGCATCGGCTCAAGAGTCCGGGGCATCGGCGCAGCGTTTCGCTCGGGTCGGCGCCGTACTCGCCGCGGCGCCCGAGCTTCACGGCGCAGGTGCAGAGCCTCCCGGTGCGGTCGCCGCGGCCGCCGTATGCGACGCAGGAGGCGATGCTCATGCGCAACGTGCACATCAAATTTGTCAAAGCGCGCGGCCTCGAGGACCATAAGACGCGGTACGTGCTCTACTGCACCAACCTCGTCTCGGGCCGGCGCTGGGAAGTGACCAAGTCATTCCGCGACTTTTACGCGCTCAAGGTGTCGATTCTGCGCAATTTGCTCTACGGCCACAAGTGCGAAGAGATTTGCCCGTGGCTGTATGCGTACGTCTCGTCGAACTTCCCGCGCCGCCACCTCTTCCGGTCGCATTGGCGGAGCGTCGTGCTCGGGCGCATGACGGAGCTCCAGACCTTCTTCGACTACCTCCAGGTCGTGCTGCGGCACCACGCGACGGTCCAGCCCCACACGTCGTGCCGCATCATCACGTACCTCCTTCCAAAGCTGCTCGTCGACTTCTTCTATGGCACGGCGCATCCACCGTCCGAGGCCGAGGCGTCGCCGACGTTTCTCGACGAGCGGCCGCGGGCGTCCATGAAGGCGACGGCCACCGACTGCGCGATCTGCTGCCTCCCGCTCAGCCAAGCCGAGAGCTGTCCGCTCTCGCCGACGACTGTCCAGCATACGATTGACGAGGCTTGCGTTGACGAAGACACGCGGCTGGACGTGCAGCTGCGCCGGCGGCTCTCGCATACCAACTCGATCACGACGTTGACCTGCGGCCACCGCTTCCACGACGAGTGCATCTTGGAGAAGCTCAACCAGCGGCTACATTGTCCGCAGTGCGGCTTCGTACTGGGCGATGCTCCGGCGGCGGTCGTGCGCCCGGCCGCGCCCGTGCTCGGCGCCGTTGTGTAGCAAGTTATCACAAATTTGAATCCTGCTTGCGTTTCAGTTTGAGTCCGATATTTTCTCAAAAATAGACGCAAGAGCAAGTGTTTTGAGAAATAGTGGGCGGTGGATTGAGTTTGAAAAAGGGACGGTCGATGGAACCGCGGAAACGGGAGGTACGGCGGCGACGCTCGATCGGAGGCTCATGACGTGGCGCTAGGACAAGCGCTTCCATGGCGCGTTCACGGGCGGCTTCTCCGCGGGCTACTACAACACGGTTGGCAGCAAGGAAGGCTGGGCGCCCAAGGCGTTCCAGTCGTCGCGGGATGGCGGCGCCGCGCCGACGCAGCGCATTGAAGATTTCCTCGACGACGAAGACGACCAGCTCCTCGGTCGGCGCCTCGAGCTCGCGTCCAAGTACGACCCGAACAATGCCACGCAGGACGCGACGAGCAAGCACATGCAGCAGGCCCAAGCCCATGGCGCGTCGATTCCCGGCTTCATGCCCGACGACTTTATCCAGCCCTCGCGCGACTCGGTGGGCACGAAGCTTCTCTCAAGCATGGGCTGGAAGCAAGGCCAGGGCGTCGGCCCCAAGATCCGCAAGAGCAAGCTGAGCCGCTTCGACGACGGTGGCCATGGCGATGACGTTGTCTACGTTGCGCCCAAGCACAACGTGGACGTTACGGCCTTCCCGACGCCCAAGCTCGACAACTATGGCGTCGGGTACGACCCGTACATTGACGCGCCCGAGTTTGCGTTCCTCAAGCGGCGCCAAGACGCGGCGAAAGCAGCATCCGGCGTGCGCCAGATCATGACGTTCGCCGACGCGATGAAGCCATCAGTCGGGCGCAGCAACATGGGCCATGGACTCAGTGCGCTCGAAGAGAACGACGACTACGACGTGTACGCGGTCGAGACCCAAGACAACTTTGACCGCGAGCTCCACGACGGCGCGTCACGGAAGCGCCTTCGCGCCCCGACGCCCGCCGATGCCAAGACACGCGCATTTCAAGTGTGCAGCGACGGCCGACCGCTGCTCAAAGGCTACGTGCTTCGTCGCGTGACGCCCAAGCCGTCCAAGGCCCTTCTCGCCCCGCTGAACGTGCCACCGACGTACGAGCCAGGTCGGCTGTTCCGTCCGCGGCCAGCGCCGCCGAGCTTGTACAACGACCACGCGTTCACGCTGCCGAAACGCGGCACGTCGACGACGCTCACGGCGACGCAGCGCGGTGCGCTCCTTGGCGAGCCGGTCGCCAAACCGTTGACAGCGCCCGCCTTGGGCGAGCAAGTGCGGGCGGGGATGCTGGCCGCCATGTCGAGTCGGTTTCAATCCGCGTCGTCGGCGAGTGAGCTGGCGGCGCCAAAAGCCGACGAGCGCAAGCCGCTCGAGCGGGCGACGCTGCCGTGGAAACCGGACCGGCTCCTCTGCAAGCGCTTCCGCGTCCAGCGACCCGATGAGTTTGTTGATGGAACCAAAGCCAGCGCGCTTGTGGACGAGAGCCAAGCACGGTTCGACCGCGAGATCGTGTCGCACCTCAAGGACGCCGACGGATTCAAGGCGCCGCCAAAAGCCAGGACGGAGGATGCGCTGTTGCCCGAGCTGCCGCCGGTCGTGCGACCGCCCGAAGACCTCTTCAAGTCGATCTTTGATGTCGACGAGCAAAGTCAAGGTGAGGATGACGAGAGCAGCAGCAGTAGCGACGAAGATGAAGCAACGGAAGCGATGGCCGCGCCGACCATGGCACAGAAGACGTTGTCCAATGTTGTGCAGCAGCACTCGAGCGTCGTCGTTGCGCCATCCGCCACACACGATGCGTCGGACGACAGTAGCAGCAGCAGTGACGACGACGCGTCGACCACCCGCCGTCGGTCGCACAAGGCGGAGAAGAAGCGCAAGCACAAGGCCAAGAAGGAAAAGAAAGCTAAAAAGGAGAAAAAAGCCAAATCGCACAAGAAAGACTCCAAGCGCCGCCGAAAAGATTAGTTAATCGTTTGCAATGATTTGAGTCGAATGAATGTATCAACTGCGACCCGTTGATATTATTGTCGGTAGGTGTTTCTGTTGCCACAAGTAGATAACTTTTGTACTAGTTGCTCAAAATTCACGACTGTACGAGGCGGCTCTTCTAGCTCGTCTCATGGAACATAAGACCAGCTATAACATAAGACCAGCTAGAAGAGCCGCCTCGTACAGTCGTGAGTCTTAAGCCGTTCCATGACGTTCGCTTAGGAGGGCCAAGAAGGTCAATGAATGCACAGGCGCCTTGTCTAGATCCGCAAGAAGACGAGAGGGAGGCAGCTACCTTCCTATTGGCGGCGGTACAGCGTGAACTTGTAGAATGTAAAAGGAAATATCATTATGTCAAGAAAAGGGGTGGGGTAAGGTAGGGTCTAGCATCGTCTAACAAAAATCTAGTCGAAAGTCTTCTTCTGGCCCTGGAAGTTCTGGATCGACGACGACTGGCGCTTGGGGGGACCGCCGGCACCACGGCCGCCACGGCCGCCAAAGCCACCGCCACGGCCGCCGCGACCACCGTCACGACCACCACGGCCGCCGAAACCACGGCCACCGCCACGGCCACCATCACCACGGCCACCACGGCCGCCGAAGCCACCGCCACGGCCACCGCCGTTGCCGCCGCCGAACGAGCGCTCGGGCTTGGGGGCAGCGTAGTTGACGCGGATCGCACGGCCGAGGACGTCCGTACCGCCGAGCTTGACAGCCTCATCGACGGCTTCCGTCGTCTCGAAGTCGACGTGGCCGAAACCGCGGAAGTCGCCGGTCTCGCGGTCCGTGGCGAGACGGACATGCGCGATGGGGCCGCAGTGCTGGAAGGTGGCGTACATCGTGTCTTCGTCAATGTTCCAGCTGAGGTTGCCGACGAACACCGACACGCAGCCCTCGGGCTTCTCCTCGAGCTGGTTCTTCTTCTCGGCCGAGCGGACCTTCATCCAGCGGCCGCCGAAGTCGGCGCCGTCGTGGGCGAGGGCAGCAGCGGCTTCGTCAGCGTTGCTGTACGTGATGAAAGCCGTACCGGTCGAGCGGCCATCGGCAGCCATCGGGAAGCGGATGGCCGTGATCGTGCCCGAGGTTTCGAAGATGGCGCGGAGTTCGCTCTCGTCGACGACCCACGGGAGGCCGGCGATGAAGATCTCGGCGCAGCCGGCATCGACCGCCTTGGCCGAGCCGTCCGCGGCCTTCTGGACCTTGGCGGGCTGCTCCGAGGACTCCGAGGCCTTGCGCTTCTTGATGACCGGGGTCTCTTCCTCATCCGAGGACGAGTCCGACGACGAATCCGACGACGACTCGGCCTTCTTGGCGGGCGCGGCCTTCTTGGCCGGGGCCTCATCCTCCGACGACGAGTCCGACGACGACTCAGCCTTCTTGGCAGCCGCGGCCTTCTTGGCGGGCGCGGCCTTCTTGGCCGGGGCCTCATCCTCCGAGCTCGAGCTCGAGTCCGACGACGACTCGGCCTTCTTGGCGGGCGCGGCCTTCTTGACCGGCGACTTCTTGACCGGGGCGGCCTTCTTCGGGGCCTCGTCTTCCGAGTCCGACGACGAGTCCGACGACGACGAGTCGGCCTTCTTGGCAGGCGCGGCCTTCTTGACCGGCGACTTCTTGACCGGGGCGGCCTTCTTCTTGGGGGCCTCATCCTCCGAGGACGATTCCGACTCGGACGACGACGAAGCGGCCTTCTTCACCGGGGCCTTCTTGGCCGGGGCGGCCTTCTTCGGGGCCTCATCCTCCGACGAGGACGACGACGAGTCCGAGCTGCTGCTGGCAGCGACGGGCACGGGCTTAGCTTGCTTCTTGGCCATAGTGATGGAAATCTGAGTGTGAGATGAGAGCCACCGCGCTCGCTCGAGCTTGAATGGCTCGCAAACCTTGCACCGTGCGAGCCAACCAACGCGTTCGATTTCGAATGCGACGATGCCATTGGCGGGCGTCGCAAACTATTTGGCCAATCACGATGGCGCACCCGATTTTCCAGTCGTTGGGGTGGTGGCGGCCCAACGCAGCCAATCAGCGCCACGCACTGGATACGGGCCAGGACGCGACGAGCGACCGCGTTCCGCGGGTGGACGCGCTACAGCGGCGCTTCAATCCCGGCCCTCGCACGCGTATCCAACACGATGACGTGGCACCTGCTGCGGCAGCGACCATGTCCTCGGCGCCGACGGCGAAAGGCAACTTCAAGTTGGCCGTCGTGGCAAGATGATGCGAGGGATAAAGCGTCGTGTATAAGTACCAGGGCCCGCACGGCCAATGATGCGACACAGCCATGGCAAGCAGTCAATGGCGTCGGTGGCAGCCGTCATAAACAATGTCGTATCTGGCGGATATAGCCGTGCCGACGCTGTGTGCAGCGCTGCAGGAGAGGAAGCTCGTTGTCGAGGACGTCGTCGTCGGCCTCGCAGCGGCCATTCCTTGCTACTACTAGTACGTACGTGGATGGATGCAACGAGCGAGCTCGTTGCTCGACTGTCGCGATCGATCGATGCGTTCTACGAGCGCTAGAAAGGGCAGTCTGCAGAGTACGAGCCGGATATTGTGCGTACGCTTACGTAGCGGTACGACAATGTGCAAAATACCAGGGCATCGCAACGACGTACGTCACGCCGTAGTACTGCATTGAGCACGTCAGTAGCATTTGCATACTAGTATTGTTGTTGTTGATGTACGATCGTCCGTTGCCCGATCTTGAAAAGACACTTTGCGGATGCGGCCCGTGTACTACGAGCCCGTCGCGCGCGTCTACTATGGCAGCGTGTGCTCGGCGGCGTACCTCCTCTCGTGGCTAGCATGGCTCACGACGTTTCTCTTGCCACTCTTGCTCGTCTACGATACGTCCAGTGACGCTCTACGCTCGTATGCTATGGCTTATGACATGGGTAGCGTTCTGGCCGCACTCGATCGCGTACCGGGAGCAGCCGTCTATGCAGTACATGTACCAGACGCTGCTTCTCATTGAAGGCACGGCGCGCGACGACCAAGGCAATGTGCGCGTCTTCTCGGGCTTTTGGAGTACGCTGCCGACAAGCGTCAATCAGCTCGCGGGCGCCGCGCTGCGCCCCGGGCAAATTCAGTCGTTTGCTGACGACGACAACCGCGACGGGCTGCTAGACCGCGTCTCGATCGAGGTGGCGATCGCAGTGAATGCCGGCGAAAGCGTTCATAAGGCGTCGCTGCTCGTGATGTTCAACGCGACGATGCAGGTGGATAGGATACTGTGTCCTTTCTCACTTTGCACTATTGTCTTTGCCACCTAGACGCATGCCCAGCTATGCATGGATGTCATGGCGCTCGTCTCGCATGCGTCGCCGCTGCCAGGCAGCGTCCTCTACACTGTGGGCGATCTCGCACTGAGCTTCAAGCGACCGTTGCCACTCACGACCACGTACACGACGATGCTCATCTAAGATCTGATAGACGATCGCCTTAGGTGTGCGACGCCGTATGCAACTGACGCGCTGCTCAACGTGTCGTCACTCCAACACGCCGACGACTTGAGGTTCGAGCAGTTCATGCTGCGGCAGACCCGTCGCGAGAGTACGCTTCGTATTGATTTCGTCGCGCACAACGACGGGCTATAGATCGCGCCACTGTGGCCAATCAAGAGCACGTGTGGATCCAAGATGCCAGTGAGGCCCCGCGGCGCTTTGTTATGAATGCGACGCTGAGTGTCCCCGTCTCCGACATTTCGTAGTCTTTTCTATCTATATATGGAGGGTGATTGGGGTGTAGGTACGTCCCGACGTTCTATGAGCGCCTCCAACGGGGCTGGGTCCAGGTACGACGAGCAGCAATGTTATTTTCTACGCACAGAGTTGATTTATGGCTGTAGTACTACGCCGCATTCGTCCTTGTCGCGTCGCTCGTCACGTCGTTGGTCGCCTTCATCGTGCGCGAACGAGTACGTCCTCTGCTCTGTGCTACGATCAGCTAACATCCATAGCTCGTCGGAACGATCGAAGCCGCCACCAAAGCTACGGGCCCGCTCGCGCACTTTCATAGTCAGTAGATCTACGATCACATCCAAGTCGTTACCATAAGTCTACTCCGCCTCCTGTACCGCAACCACAACAAACGAATGACAGACCTAATACTGTCATAATGGAGACCTTCCCAAGCCTCGTGTGGTCTAGAACTCAGAACTTATTCCAAGAGTTTGAGGCGGTGGGGTGAGACGTCGCTGGTAGTGATGTGGAATTCGCTTCCTTTCACGTGGCACTTCAACATGCTTTTCATTTGTCATGTGTCCAACGGCCACCGAAGGGCCACGTCATTGCAGCGGGTTGAAATAACGCAGACGCTCCTGTCGTAGGCTCTTTCGTGCTGTACCTTAGCTGCTGAGGACTATCGAATAGTTACTCGACCTCCTCTTACTGCGGCCAAGCTCGGCCGCGCGTGCTCGCTCTGTCCACAGCAACCAGCGACGGCAGCTGGTTTACCTTCTCACATTTCAACAAAATGAGCCAATCACGATGCGATTTCGACACCATTTTAACCAATGAAAACGCTGCGCCAATCAAAACGCCACGATTGTGATGGGCTTCAAGAAACCGAAAGGGCAATTTCGTTGCGTATTTCTGATTTGGCCATGACCGAGTACGGCGTCGACGTCTCTACCCAGACGCGCGTGCTCCGGCGCTGGGCGCCCCGGCACTTGGTGCTACGAGGCCAAACGCTCACGCTCTATGACGGCGCCGCCCTCTGCGAGACGCATGCCATGGCGCAGTGCCACGTCACGGCGCTGCCCCCGGAGCCCCCGACCCGTTGCTTCTTGCTCGAGCTGCGCTTTGCCTCGAAGAAGACCCTTCGCATCCTTGCCGACAATGCCATTCTTCATGCGCGGCTCAAGACCATCTTGGAGGCCGCTGCAACGAGCGACCGGTACACCCTCCCGCCCTTCTCGGACGCCGACCGTCTTTTGTGCGTTGCCGCCACCGTCACGGAGCGGGCCAAGCACCGCCGAGTCCCATCCAGCGGCCTCACTCCTGCGCATATCCAAGCATATGTAGCTCGTCTCAAGCGGATCGTCGACCGGGACTTCGCCGGCGTCGCGTCGCCCGAAGCGCTCTACGCCAAACTCGTCGACCTTGAAGCCACGTACGTCGTTAATTACCGTGATGACACGCATTGCGTCACCGAGTCGTTCCCGCACCTTGCCTACCAGCTCGACGCACTCAACTTTGCGCTGGGGCACAACCCGTCTCGCGCTACGCCAAATGCCGACGTCATTGGCGTCTGCACCTTTTGCAAGCGCGAGCTCGAGCCGTGGAAAGCGCGCATCATGTACCAGCGCAACCAAACAGCGCAGTGCGGTCACTGCAACGAGTACGTCGACGTACAGACGTACTACAAGCGTTGCTTCGACACGAGAGCGTTCGACATGCCGCTGCGCGACGTCTTGGCACAGTGCCCGCACAGGCATTGCCGACGACCTTTGGAGTTGCGCCTCGTGTATGCGCTCCACGTACATGACGAGGCCGTGACGTGCCCTTGTTGCAGCCACACGCTTTTGTACGAAACGTTTCAAATTGCGCTCTTCCAGCGTGAGCACCCGTACCTCGAGTGGATCAGCGACTTTACCACGCAAAAAGAAGTCATGAGTCGACTCGCGGTGCCCCGCGACCTCCCGATCGACGGCCGCTGGGACACATACCTCCGAACGCTCCTTGGCTGCATTGATGCACGCACCAAGACCAAGCCGCCAATAAGCCGCATCGAAGCATATGCGCTCAAAGAACAAGTGCAGTCGAAAGCCGGCGCGATTCGCGCCAACGCGCTCGGTGCGTTTCCCATCGATCTGGTGCGCGCCATGGTCCACGAGTTGCGACTTCTGAGCGTCCTATTGGCCCACGACACGTACTGGGCGACGCCACCAATCGCGGCGGCGGCCATCGCGCGCTACGAACACTTTATGGCGCTGCAAAAGGGGACGACGCTGACACCGACGCTGGACATTGCCGTTGCGTGGTGCGCCCACCGGACGCAGCCGTCGGCCTACGTCGCTTACTCGACAACGGTTGCCGGTGCTGTCGTGGCGTCCTCTACCGGGACTGACGCCACGTACGCTGAAACGTGCACTCTGTGGACCAAGGCGTACGGCGAGGCGTACTCGTCGTTTGTGCCGACAACTGGCGACGGAAAATGGCTCGTGCCCCGGGGCGACTCGCGCTTCTTTGGCGTTGACGACGCGCTGCCGCGATCCAAGCACAACGATGACAACGGCGACGACCGTGCGCTGCGCGGTGTCATTGGCACTCCGATCTTTGACACGCGCGTCGCGTCATCGAAACTGTACCTCCTCCTTCCCCACTCTAGTGCTTCGCCCTAAGACTTGTAGTACACTACTAGTATATTTTATTCGTTTAGTGCGATTCTACAAGGGGTACATTATTCACTCCTGGGTTCAGAAGGCATTGTCGTGTCGCCTCAGTACTGTCGACGGCCAAGAGCTCACTTTGCACCGTTATCCGGATAACCCAGTTGTGTTTTGACAGGTCAAGACGCCACGTCACGCGCATCCGAACCTGCCACCACAACCGAATTGGACCGTTGGGAGACGCATGGCGGCGACGACAGAAGACACCGAAGCGCGCGTCGGCCCCGTCGACGACGTCAACCGCAGCATCGAGGCGTTGGATTGGTCGGTACTCGAGGCGGCGCTCAAGGTACCGGGCAACGCGGGGTATCCGCTCTGCTCCATGACCGAAGCCGACTTTGACGTGTATATCGAGTCGGAGAACCAAGACCTCAAGTCGCGCAACCTGGAGTGGCACCACGGCGTTGTGTACATTGTCGAATTGAACGATGTCATGCACTGCCGCCTCGCTATCGGCATCGATGAGGCCATCTTCGAGGCGACGGGGACGGGATGCAAGCATCTCCGGTCGTGTGGCAGCGCGTACATTGACACGACCAACGCGCCGATCACGCTACCGAAGCTCGAGCCGGATGGTTGCTTTTACCCGACGCGCAGCATTGGCCCGATCAAGCCCAACTGGCTTTCCTGGTGCGAGAATCACACGCTCAAAGTCGAAGTCGGCGTGCACGCCAACTGGGTGACGCTGGACCCGAAGACTGAGCGCTGGTGCGCGTTTCCCGGTATTCGCTACGTGCTCTGCGTCCACGTGTCGCACGACTTTGCGGTGCGCGAGTACAAGCTCTTTTCGATCACCAACAACCAGCTTGACGGCCCCGCACCGCACTTGACGGCGCCCACTCCAATTCACGCTCATACGCGCATCGAGCTCGATGGTCGTCGGCTCTTGGCGCTGCCGGACGACGTCCCGCTGCCGCTGGGTTTCAACGCCAGCATTGTCTTTGAACTCAACCCGATCGTGCAAGAAGTGTGGTGCGATTATTGCGATAGCGACGACCCCATTCCACCTCCGTTTTGAGTTTCAAGCCGTGCACGAGTGGCATTTTCCTTCACAAGGGAAACGTTTCTAGTGAAATGACTCCAACAACATATGTTTTTTTTCTAGTTTGAAACTCCGCACGGTGTCCCTCTTCTTGAGATGGCGTAGGCCAGATGAGATGCCATTACAAGAGGTCGACCTCTGCGTATGACCTAAGGTCGACAACCATTGACCATTGGTATGGTGTTGCGACGACACTGGGCGACGCGGAGTGTCATTTGGATCACAGCCGAATCCGACGGCGGCTGCGCCAGACTCGTACCAATACAGGTATACAGACTTTTTGGCGTGCTCACTTTGCACTGTGCCAATACGTCTTCGCCCTTGTACTAGTCCCACCCAGCGCATGAATCGATGCGTGCAGATGACGCTACGCTGCGTGCGACAGCCACGCACCAACCGACCGTTCGGTTGGCGAAACGGTTTTTGGCGCCTTCGAAACGGCAAGGACGCGATGCTGCTGCTGGAATGAAGCGCGTGGAATGTGTAGCTGTACGGTGGCTGGGTGCCTGGAGCTCATGGTAGCTGCCCCACAGTGGGATCGCTCGGTCGCCACAACCCCTCACGCAGCAGCTGGCGCCTCAATTCGGACTTTGGAGCCTGAACTTGCCTGAAAATGCCGATTTTCACACCGGGAATACCTAAAATTAATTCCGGTAGGATTTCCCAGCCTGACGTGGAGCGATGGCATCGATGTCATTCGCCGATTCGCCCTTCGTCATGCTTCCGACAAGCGCGGATGCATGGGCGAGCGCACAGCTGCCACCCGAGGTCCTTCGGGACGGCGAGCTCCTCGCGCAAGCGTACCTCGCCCACCTCACGGACGAGGCGCCGGCCGACCGGAGCACCCTCCTCGAGGCCTACGAGCAGCTCAAAGCGCAGCGCGTCCAGGCGCCATCGACCGGGACGTTTGCGGGCGACGACCTCGACCGGCTGCGCCTCTTTGCTTTCCCGACACAGCCGCGCTCATTCCAAGAGTCGTTCGACGCTGTGACACCGTCGGCAGTGCTGCGCGAAGCCGCCTTGACGACGCCATCGCCGGCGACCATCGACCAGGCGCTCGAGGCCTTCCAGACGCGCTTCTGCCTCAAGAAGACCATGGCGCAGCTCGGACGCGCCATGACACCGGACGTGACGTCCATCGAGACGCCGTCGCCGTACCTGGTCTCGGCGCACGACCAAAGCGTCTTTCCCGAGAAGCTCTTCTCGCTGTCGTCCAGCCGCTTCCAGCTCGACATGCTCGCGTACTTTCGTCTAAAGGAACCGGCGCTCTTTGCCAGCGGCATGCACACGATCGTTGGCTCGATCCTCGACTGCCCGCCATTGTCGCTATGCGCCATTCGCCCGCACTCGGCCGAGGCCGCGCTTCTCGCCGCGCACGTTGCGTTTGGAGCGCAGCTTCTGAACGACGCAGCGGGCGACCCGATCGCGACGGGGTATGCACTCTCGCTCTTGCTGGCGCTGGGCGAGTCGAGCGGCCACCTACAGCCGCTCTTGGTCGCGACCTCGTACCTCTTGCGCCCTGCGAACGCGTCCGTGGTCGCGGCGTTGCCCACCGACCAGTCGGCGCACTTGGATGCGATCCTGCGCCGCCTTGACGCGTACAAGGTGCAGTTCGAACTTAGTCTGGTGGTCGCCGACGCCGTGCTCAAGAGCGTGCATGTCCTCGACGACGACGCCCCCAACGACAATGACAAGATATTCTCGACGCTTGCTACCGACGGCAAGTACGTCTACGGCTGGAGCACCGGCCACGGGCTTCAAAAGGTCGGGTCGGGCTACCATGGCGCGGTCGCTGGCAAGGTGTACGCCCACGCACCGGCGTCTTCGGTTGCCGAAATCCTCTTTGCCTCGGACGACGATTCGATCCACTGGTCCGACTACACCGTGTCGCTTCTCGCGGCCGGTGACAGCGTGTACTTGGGCGTTGCGCGCAAGCGACCGACAGACGACGACCCGTCGACGACGCCGGCGCTGACACTGTGGGCGCTCGATGCCTCGACGTTGACGCCGACCGCCCGCGTCGACGTGGCAACGACGGCGACGACGGTCTTTACGGATGGCCACAGCCTCTTTACGGCCGCCGTCCACGGTGCCGAGCTTGTGCTGGAGCGACTGGTGCGGACCGAAGGCTTTGCTGTCGCAACGACATGGCACGTGGCGCTCTCCGCCGATGCGCAAGCGTTCTTTCGCAAATCGAGTGACGCCATGTACTACACCAACGGCCATGCCGTAGTCGTGACGCAGCGCGGGTCACCGATGCCGTCTCTGCAGCTGCAGCTCGAGAGCGATGCGCCACAGGTGGTCCTAAGCCACCACGATGCCGACGTCGACGCCTGCGCGCTTGTGTTTGACGCGCGCAACAACGTCGTATGGCGCGCGATGCATGACCACGACGGCAACATTTTGGTGTCACACCAGAACCACGGTCTCCACGTGGCGCCACCACCGGTCGTGTCGCCGACGCCGTCGGCCGTCGCGCATCGGGTCGTAGCGCACCTGTCGCGGGTCCTCGACGCCTACGCCGGCGATACGACCTATCGCGCGCGTCACGTGCCCTTCCTCGTCGACTTGAGTCCAAAGACGTTTGAACTTCTTTTGATCTTGGTGGCCGAGACCACCGAGGCGAGCGTGCTGGAGACGGCGCTTCGCTTGCTCTTGCGCAACGTGCAGCACTGGCACGCCGACCAGACGCGCTCGCAGGACGTTGGCGCGTTGGTTGGTGCGAGCGGCCTCGTGGCCATTCTACAGCGACTCGTGGACGCCGCGCCGACGCCAAGCGTTCTCACGGCGGCGCAAGCCCTCTCGGTGGCGACTCTGGAGCTCTCCCACCCGACGCTAACGAGTCAGTGGACGTACGCGCTCTCGCTCCTCTCGGCCGCGGTGCACGGGACGCTGCCCGTGTCGCAGCAGCCGGCGCTGCATCTCGTGTTGGCCCAACTGACGTCGCATCCCAAGATGCAGGCGTTTGCCAAGGAAGGCATCGTCACGTCGTCGGCGTGGTCGTCGCTCTTGGATCTCGTCGCGCACCAGTCGCAGGCATCGCCCGAGAGCTTTGCGTACTCGCTGACGGCGCCACTCACGTCGCTCGTTGTGGCGTCCTGTCACGCTGCGGTGGGGGCATATGCCAATGCGTGGCTGGACCTCGATGGACTCGTGACACTGGCGCGTCAGCTCCTTGACACGGCGGCGCGCATGTGTGATCATACGTCGACACCAAGCAAGGAGCTTGAGGCCGGCGTCGTCGGCCAGGCCGTGGGCGTCGTGGTTGCCTTTGTGCAGGCGGCGCTCGAGACGACGGCGCCGCCCGGCCTCGCGACCATCGATGCCTACGTCGCCTCCATTGCAGCGTTGGTGCCCAAGCTGTCGGCCTTGACGGCAACGGAGGACGAGACGCCGGCGCGGACGCTTCAGGTGACGGACGCAGTCGGGACGCTCGAGTCGGCGCACCCAAACGTTGCCAACACGCAGATCAACACGAGTTTTGTGCTGCCGGGCGCGTCGACGATGACGATTTCGTTTGATCCGCGGTCGGCCACCGAAGGCTACTACAACAGCATTACGTTCTACACGGACGAGTCGTGCGCAGCGTACCACGGCGAGGAGCGGTACTATGGCCACGGCGACAGCACTATGTTTCCAGGCATTGGGTCGACGCCGCCGCTTCAAATCCCGACCAACAAGTGCTTTGTCGTGTTCCGGACCATGGAGAACGCCGGTACATTTTTTGGCTACCGCTTCACCGCGGTCGCCAAGGACACGCGCCACGTAGTGTCGCTCTCGGTGCCGCGCCACTTGCTATCGGCGCTGAGCGCGACGCTGGGCAGCATTGCGACCAAGGCGTGGTCGACGTGGAGCCCGACAGAGGCGTCCGAAGTCGAGCACGAGTCGCTCTTGCAGACGCCGCTCTTCCGCGGTGGTTTGCGCGCCGAGTCGCCGGTCGCGTTCTTGCACGAGCTCATCGAGCTACCCGAGGGGTCGCCAGCCGAGACGGTCGCCAAGCTCCTCAAGGCCAAGACGATCCAGGACCAGGGCGCTGTGCCGTACATCAACCGCGCCGTGCGGGCCGTGGCCGCCGCCCTTTTGCACCACAACGGCGTGACCATGGATGCGATCGCACTCTCGCAGGGCCTTCGGAGCGATGCGAGCGCGGCCTTGCTCAAAGCGTGGCGCAACGCACAGAAGATGCGCCATTGGCTTCATCTCGGCGATGCCAAGCCCGCGACCGAGTCCAAGCCGACGCTCAAGCGACAGCCGTCCGCGTACGCCGGTGCGTCGGACGAAGCGCTCCAAGTGCTCTGTGCCAACGTTGTCGCACGGGCGCGCTTCCTTTTGACGCTCGAGCCAGCGACGTTGCTCGAGGACGATGGCAGCGCGACCAAGCGCCGGTGGGGGGCGCTGGCCAAGCTTGCGAGAAGCCACACGCCGGATGCGAATGCGTCGCTGATGACCAAGTGGCACGCGCTCATCGACGAGGCCAAGGCGGCGACGGACCTCAAGGCGCTTCTCAGCTACCGCAAGAGCGCTGCGGGCCGCGACCCGACGGCCAAGACGACGACGGAGCTCGTGCTCGGCTTTGTGCAGAGCGATGCGAGCGTGGCGGACGTGTCGAGTACCATTGCCGTGCGCAACGCACGCGCCTTGCTGCGCGGCGTCGGCTTGGACGCGCTTCATGCTGTGGTCGCGACCAAGACTGGCGTCTCGCCGGCCGTCGTGTTGGACCAGTTTGCCTCGACGTTGCAGGCGTCGGCAGCGCCGACCGTGCAGCTCACGCGGAGCTTGGAAGGCAGCGACGTTCTCGGTCGCGTGCGAGTCCGGTCGGCGTTCAGCGCCGTCGTCGGTCGCCTCGCGTCGGCGTTGACACCGCCCTCGGACGAAGCGTTGCTTGTCGCAAGCCTCAAACTGCTGGCGATGGACTTCGAGCCGCGTGACGTCGAGTACCTCACGCCCGACCTCGTCACGCTCGTGTTCGACTTGCTCTTGTCCTTGCGCCCGACGGTGCGGCACGCGGCCCAAGCGACCATTCGACTCTGGTGCGACTGCTTCCTCGGCGCAGACGTGGCGCGCTCGTCGCCGTTGACGCCGCTGCTGGTGTCGCTCTTGCAAAACTACACGGCGCTCGCGACATCGACGCTTTTGGCGGCGGACGCAGACCGTCGCCCGATGCACTTGGCCCGCGGCATGCACCACGTGCCATTGGAGCTCGTCGCGCATAACGTCTTTGCGCTGCATTTTGCACTGTTTTGCGAAGCGCTGCCGATCCGCTTGCTCAAGATGGGCGACCGTGTGACGCGCGGCCCGCAGTGGAACCTCTTTGGTGACGACGCACTCGGCATGGGCGTCGTCGGCACCGTCGCCAAGCTCGACGGCACGGCGGCGGCGGTGCAGTGGCGCACGGGCGACGGTGTGCTTGGCGAGAGCGGCGAGGCCAGTGCAACGACCAAGTTTTTCCACTACTCGGACGCCGCCCAAGAAATCGTACCTCTCGATCGCGACGCGAGCGGCCTTGTCTGCGCATTTGAGAACGAAACCACCGAGGTCTGCCGACTGCACATCAACTTGGCCGGGTGCTTCGAGCTCCAGATCGGCGCCGACGTGGTGGCGACGAGCGGCGCGCCAGTGCCAGCGTCGCTTTGGCACCGAGTGGTGGTGACCCGCCAAGAATCGTCGCTCCAAGTGCTCCTCAACGACGACGTCGTACTGAGTCATGTGCTGCACGACGCTGCTCTCTCGGTCGTGTTTGGCCAGACTCGGCTTTTGCAGCAAAAGCCTGCGGCCGCCTTTGTCTCGATGCACGCCGACACACCACCGTCGACGGAAGCCCCGAAAGACGGTGAGCTGGACGTTGGCTTGCATCTCATGAGCACGCTTTTGTCGACGGCGACGTCGGCGCCGCAGGTGCTCAAGCCGCAGAGTACGCTCCAGCACGTCGTGCAGCTTGCCTACGCTGCGCAGAGCCCCGTGGCCATCCGCGTCGCGGCACTCCATGTGCTGTCGAGCTTGCCGGACGTGGCGACGGTCGCGCCGGCGTTGGCGGCGGTCGTGGCGTCGAGCGATGTCCTTGGCTACACGCTGAGTGTCCTTGGCACACTGCTGTACCCGGACAGTAAAGCCGAGACCCCGGCCTTTTGTCTCGCCGACCACGACGCGCTCTGGCTCGCGTCGGCTTACGCCCGGTTTGCTCGCTTGTACGCGGCGCAGACGGCGTTGCTGCCCGAGCTGGCCGACGGTATTGTCAAAAGTCTGCGCTGCCTCGAGCGATTCGGCGAGGCACATGAGCACGAGAAGCGCGCGGTGCTGGCGTCCATGGCGCTGCTTGGTGGCCTCCACGACACACTTGTCCTGGGTGGCACGGTCAAGTACAAGGCTTTGGGCGATCCCAAGAGCATCGTGCGCGGTGTCTGCATCGCGTTGGACCTCATGCAGAGCACCGCGTGCGTTTTGCCAGAGGGCGACCACGCCAAACTCGAGTACGTGCTCCTCGACGACGTTGCGGCCGACGCAACGCCACCGGTGCACGACGACGTGACGCCGTTGATCGCGGCGCTCGATGCACCATTATTACTGCAGGGCTTGCACGCGCTGCTGTCGATGCGCTGCGAACTGCCGCTGTGGGTGCTCGACGTTCGCGCGCGGGCCCTCAAGGCCCTTGAGCGCATCGGACTTGGTATTGGCGGCGTCGAGGCTCTTGTGCCCCAGTGGCTCGCGCTGGCGCGGGCGCCACCGGCGGGGCAGATGCCGCCGTCCAAGCGCCAAACGCTCACGTTCCAGTCCGGACACCCGTACGCCAACTCGATCGACGTGTACCAAACGATCTGCGTTGAAGGCGCGACGGGCCTCCGCGTGACGTTTGACGAGCGGTGTCGCACCGAGCACGACTACGACTATGTCAAATTTTACAAGGACGACTCGTACAACGAGATCTGGGGCGAGACCCAGTACACCGGGCGTGACGGCAGCGAAAACTGGGCCGGTTTCGGTGGCCGCCCGCCGCTGGAGATTCCGACCAACAAGTGCGTATTGTACTGGCACACGGACGGCTCGGGCAACGACTGGGGCTGGCTCGTCCAGATCGAAGCCATTTTCGACAAGAAGGAGGCCAAGACCTCCGCCGCCTCATCGTCGTCGTGGTCGCTCGACCAGTTGCAGCAGCGGGCGTTCCACCTCTCGGACCTCTTGCACCAGCACAACGTGTCGCCCAACACGCTGGCGCCGGCGTTGCCTGCTCCGATCGACGACACGCTGCCCGAAACGTGGCAGGTGTCGCCCAAGTACTTTTACCCGGCAGCGTCGACCGCGTACATGGCGGCAATCGACGTGACGTTGCACGCGTCACCGGACGTGACAAGTGACGTCGTGACGGTTGTGCCAAAGCACGGACCACTCACGTTGCTGGCGTCGGACGGTCGCTGGGTGCACGTCGCGACGGAGGACGCGGACGGCTGGACACAAGCGCGTGACGACGACACGTTTTACGTGCTGCCGGCAACGGCGCCGCTCGCACGTACCAACACGTCGATGCTGAACGCTGTCGCTGAGCCGTATGTCATTGGACCTGTCACGGGGCTGCTCAAGCCGTCGGCGGACGACGACATGGGTGCGGACGAGCTCGAGGCGCACTTTGTGCTCAAGACCAAGCCGAGCGACAAGACGCTCGTGCCATTGGCGCTCGGCGATGTGCTGCACAACCTTTCGGCGCAGTACGCACGCAAGTGCCTCCAGGCGGTGTGCCTCGCGACGACCGACGGCGTCTCGGCGCCCGTGTTTCTCGAGCTCTGCGATCTCTTTGTGTTTGAGCGCGATCCCGAGCGGCCGGACGCCAAGTTTGCGGCGCAGTTGCGGCACCTTGCGCGTCAGCACGAGTCGTTCCGATGCGACGTTGTCGCGCGCAGTGTGCGCCAGCTGGACGCGGCCGTGGCGCAGCTCCCGACGTCTTCGGTCGTCAATTACGTGCACATTGAGAAGACGCCGCCACTCGGCCAGCGCCGCGTGCACTTTCCCGGAGCGTCGCGCCTCCGCATCGTGTTCCGTGAAGACGATACAAACGTGACCAACCCCGATGACGCGCTGCGCTTTTACCACCCGAACGGCACGCTGCTCGGGCAGTACACGGGCGCTAAAGACTCGGGCGTGTGGCCTGGTATTGGCAGCGTTCCGCCGCTCGAGGTCGACGGCGACACGCTCATCTTTGTCAACTACGTGCCGAGCTTTGCCGACACGGGCAGCCACGCGTTCAAGGTGTACGCCGAAGGCTTTTACTTGACGCCCGAGGACCCGCCGGTCTTTGATGCGTCCGTGCTTGAAGGGCGGATTCGACTGTGCTGCTGGGTGCTTCAAGTGCTCGCAGAGAGCGACCTCTTGCTCGCTAGTCTCGTGGCCAACGCGACGTTGGTCACGACGCTGGAGCTGCTCGGACACGTGTACCAGCTACTGCCGCCGTCGCACCAGGTGCGCGTGCTGGACGCGCTCTGCGGTCTTTTGCGCTCGAAAGTGTCGGCGACGAGGCTGCTGCAAGCTCTCTCGACGGCGCAGATCCAAGCTCTGCATGCGTTCGTGCACACCAAACTGCTCTTGCGCCACGACATTGACAAGCACTATGGCGACGACCGGTCGCCGCTCATGCACCGGCTCGTGCAGTGTGCGCTTGCGTGGGACACGCAGCTCGCTTCGTATCTCCAGACGCTGGCCGTCGACGACGACGTGCGGTGGTTGACGCCGGACGGCACCGGTGCAACGACGGTCACGGCGGCCGCGACGGAGCCCCCGACTCTTGTCCAGACCACAAGAGGGTATGTGTCGGGGCTGCATACGTGGGAGATCACCGTGCACGGATGCGTCGACGTCGGGGTCGCCACCGACGGCGTTGTTGCTGCCAGTGTACCTGCCACCGATGCCGATGTCGTCTCGGTCGAGCTGGATATCGCGCACCAGGTCGTGACGTTCCGGCGCAACCGTGCATTGGTGTGCCGCAATGAACTGCCGTCGTCGATGCAACCGTGGTTCCCCGCTGTGCTGTTGGCAGCACCGGGCGACGCAGCAACGATTCGGGCACGGTCGCTGCTCGCCGACGCCATTTCGCTGGACCACGTCGACCCGTGGTATGCCGACGTCCGCAGTGCGATGGCCATGGTCGACACGGTCGCTGCTGGCACACCGTCGTCGGCCGTTGCGCTCACACCGTCGAGCGACGTTGTGCACGTCCCAGGCGCCAAGACGTTGCAACTCGTACCGCAAACCGACAGCGGCGCGCACGTGCCGGGCGGCGTCACGGTCGTCGACGCTTTGGGGGCTACGACAACGTTCTCGGCGACCGACTTGCATGCTGCGGTACCGTCGCCGGCATCGGCTCTACCGTTGTATACCAAGGTGGTCCGAGGCAGCGACTGGCAGTACGGCGACGAAGACGGTGGCGCCGGCAACGCAGGTGTCGTCGTCGGAACTGCACCGTGGAATGGCGTACCGGACGCCGGTGTTCGCATCTTTTGGCGCAAGACCGCATTCCAAGGCTTGTACCGCCACAACTACCTCGGGACGTTCGACGTGCTGCCGTTATCGCCTTTGACCAAGGCCATCGTCGCGGGTCCGTCGCTCACGATCGCACCGACGTCGCCGACACCGAGCATGGCGCTCGACGGCCGCCACGAGATTGTGCTCTCGGATCTGCCGTCGCTGCATGACGAGTGCACGCTGCAGTTTTGGCTGCGCGTGACGCCGATCGACAGCGACCGCACGCGCCAGTGCATTTTTCAACTTGGCGCTGCGGACGATGCGTGGCACCTGCGCCTCGAACTCAACGCCAAGCGCCAGCTCGTGCTCGGCATGGCCAGCGCTAAGCTCGAAGGTCCGACGCTGCCCGAGGCCACGTGGATCCGCATCGAAGTGGGGACGTGCGGGTCGCTGTTAGCGTTGCACGTCGACGGCGCATTGAGCAGCCACGAGCGCTTTGGCGAAAAGCTGGATTGGCGTGACGCCGGTGCGTCGACACTGGTGTTTGGCCGTCCGTTTGCGGGGCCGACGCCATCCGACGCGTTTGTTGGCCACGTAGCCGCGATCCACGTCTATGACGCGCCACTGCACTTGAAATCGTACGCTGCCGCCAACGTATTCTCCGACGTCTGGGAGACCAACGGCATGGCGCCGCTGCCGCCGCCGTCGTTTGATGCTCTCCTGGCGCAGGTACAACTGATGCGCTTGATGTATATACCATGGCAACTGTGTAGGCGGCCGAGACGACAGAAGACGTGCCGCCGGAAGCCACGTTGCTCGCGCAACTCGAAACGCGCAACGCGGGCACGTCGTTCCCGTCGCTCCGCCCGAAGGGTGTCGGCATCACGGAGGCGTCGGCGCACACCAAGATTTACTACGAAATGACGTTGCTCGACGGCAACGCCAACCAGATTGGCTGGAGCTTTGGCGACGTGACGTTCACGGGCTGTGGGACGTCCACCACCGGCGTCGGCGACGTCGAACACAGCTACGCGATCGATCTGAACCGCATGGTGCTCTGGCACGGCGACAAGCAAGAAATTGACGTTGTTGCGTGGACTGCTGGCGACGTCCTTGGCGTCCTACTGGACACGGAGGCGTGCGTCATGACGTTCTCGGTCAACGGCGTGCTGCTCCAAGATGTGTCGTTTCAACGCGACGACGACGACGACGAGAGCTGGCTGAGCCACGGGCCGGTGTACCCGAGCGTGTCGCTATCGACAAACGAAGGCGTGCTCTGGAACATTGGCCATCTCCCGTTCCGCCACTGCCCCGAGAGCTACGTCTCGGTGCTCACGGCCGCCGACGCACCGACGGATCGTATCGCGTTTGAGATCTTTGACCTCGAGCGCCAGGCGTGGCACGATGTCGGCTTTTGGCACCGCGTGCAGCCCGGGTGCCGCCCGCGCCTCGTCGGCACCTGCCTTTCGTCGATCGATGCGTGCGACGTGCCGTCGCCCATCTACCCGATCGGCGATCTCCACATCGTGCCAGCGTCGGCGACTCTCGGTGTCCTGCCGTCGGATGCATCGCCGGCGGAACTGGCCGAGCTCGTCCGGTACATCAACCAGCTGTGTGCGTCCAAGGGCTGGACTAAGCGCGAGCTCCTCGACTTGGGCTGGGCCAACGTCGCGCCAAAGTCGGACGACGAGCTCGTCAAGTGGCCGCTCTTGCACCAATCGGCGGCGTCGCTTCCAACGCACTTTGCGCTGCTGCAAGCGCTCAACCTGCGCATGGACGCGCATTTGCTACTGTATGTTGGCGTCGAGTACACGGGCGGCGCGCACGTTCCGGCCCTTCTGCACTCGCTCATGGCGTGCCGCGACTACATGTACGGTCTCGTCAAGCAAGGGCTTTGGGACCGCGAGATGGCCGCGACGGCGATCCCCGGCACAAGCAAGACGCTGGTGCTCAACCGACCGAAAGCGGCCCGGCACCTCGGCGGCGGCCTCAACCCATTTGCGCTCTTTTTGCAAGCGCACCAAGGCCTCAAGTCGTACAAACCCGCCGAGTTTTGCGCGTCGAGTCGACTGTACACCGTGACGTTCCTCGGCGAGAACGCGATTGACGTGGGCGGGCCGTACCGCGAGACCTTTTCACAGTTTGCAGCCGAGCTCCAGAGTGCACAGCTGCCCCTCTTGCTCCCGACGCCCAACCACGTGCACAATGTCGGCAACAACCGAGACGCGTACGTGCTGCACCCGACAGTGTCGCCAAGTTTGCTCATCTTCCTCGGCAAGCTCCTCGGTGTTGCAATGCGCTCGAAGGAATACCTCGCTCTCAACTTGAGTCAAGTGGTCTGGAAGCTTTTGACGCACGAGACGCTGACGATCGACGACCTCGAGGCCATCGACAGCCTCGTCGTCAGCTCGATGAACTCGATCCGGCGCATCGACAGCGACGGCGTCGACGCCAACTCGTTCGAAGACGTCATCCAAGAGACCTTTGCAACGCTCTCGACCGACAACCGCACAGTGCCGATCGTCCCAGGCGGTGACGCGATCGCCGTCACGTTTGAGAACCGGGGTGCATTTGCGGACGGCGTCGAGACGTACCGCTTGCACGAGTTTGACGCTGCCGCCAAGTTCTTGCGCGAGGGGCTCGGACTCGTCGTGCCCCTCCAAGTGCTGCGACTCTTCTCGTGGCGCGAGGTCGAGATGATGGTGTGCGGGTCACCGGCCATCGACATGGACTTGCTGAAGGAGTGCACCGAGTACAGCTGCTGCGAGCCCACGGACGCGCACGTCAAGTGGTTCTGGGAGGTGCTCTGCGACGACTTTTCTGAAGAGAGCAAGCGCATGTTTCTCAAGTTTACGTGGGGCCGCATCCGCCTCCCGCGCTCGAAAGCCGAGTTTGGCCAGCTCTTCAAGCTCCAAAACAACGCCCGCGACCCGCCGGATACGTATTTGCCCGTGTCGCACACGTGCTTTTTCTCACTGGAGCTGCCAAAATATTCGTCCAAGGCGATTTTGACCCAGCGGCTCATGTACGCCATCTACAACTGCCACGCGATTGACGGCGACGGCGACGCGCTCGCGGCCAACCAACTCGGCTGGGAGGACTAGAGTTTCCTGGATCCTGTAACTAACTGCATGTGTACGACATCACGATATTGTGGGTTTGGGAATTGCGTTCCGGTGGACCCACGATGAATTCTCGGGTTGGACTATCGCATTGGATGTCGTAAGGCATAAGAATGGCGACGACACTGTCGACGCTTTGGAGCATGCAAATACTGTGCTTGCAGCGATCGTGCGACCCGAAATGGTGGCGAGAGCTTTCGAAAGGCGCTTGCACCATCTCGCACAGCGCTGGGTCGAAAAGGTGCTGGGACGTTCGCCACTCGAGTGCTACAGGTAGGAACAAACCTGTTGTCGTTGCGCATCAAGGCAGCAAGAAAGAGAACGTCCACCGCTCGCTCTTGCACGAGACATCGCAGTGAGATTGTATCCGGATAGCAACGCTGCCAGAGTGGAATTGGTCTCAAGATGGTCATGCCTCCAACAGCAGCGACAACGAACCCCGAGACGACCGCACGTGATTCTGTCGACCCTGTGAAGCGCATCAATCGAGCGATCGAGGCTCTGGACTGGGATGCCGCGCAGGCCGCTCTAAACGTCATCGACAACGACGGCTTTTGGGTCTGCTCTGCGACCGAGGCCGACTGGGATCGCTACGTCGAGTCGGAAGAGCAAGAGATGAAATCTCGCCACTTTGAGTTTCGAGACGGCTCAATATACCTCATCGAGATGAGCGGTGGACTTCACGGCAGCATTGCTGCTGGCATCGACGACGCGATCAAGGAGGCCACGAGGCCAGAGGTCACGGGGACATACGATCGAGTCCTCTGGGGGCACCGCGACGCGTACGTCGACACGACTCACGAACCAGCGGCATACAAGCTACCGAAGCTCGCACCCGACTGTAGCTACGGTCCAGCACTCGACATTGGCGCCATCTTTCCCGACTGGCCCCTCGACCTCCGCTGGAACGAGTTCCATACGCTCAAGGTCGAGGTCGGCATCAATCAAGGCTGGCGAAGTATGAACGCTAAGGTGCTGCGATACTGCGCCTTTCCCGGCATTCGCTA